GTTTCGTGGCGCCTCTTCTTATTGCAGTGCGTCTCCTTGGCCCCCGCCGCCCCCCTTGGGCCAAGCGCAGGCCTCGGGCCGTGATCTGCGAAACCCGTCTTGGGCGTCCCGAGTGGGGGCTTGCCCTCCTCCCCAGCAGAAGCAGGGATGGCGGGAGGGGTCCTGCAGGAGGAGGAGGATCGAATCGCAAGAAACGGCACAAACAGAGTTCCCCGAAGGTCTGCGCAAATTTCTTGGACCGGCCCTGGGCCCCCCCACGCGCCAGGGAGGGGGGCCGAGCGCCGATCCAAAAAAACCCGCGCGGACCCTCTGAACTACATGCTCTATGCAGTTCTTGCTGCTCCTCCAGGGACGCAGGAATGGTGGGAGAGATCCTGCTAGACAAGGAGGAGGAGGAGGAGCAGGAGCAGGAGGAGGAGGAGGAGGAGGAGGAGGAGGAGGAGGAAGAGGGGGGGGACTCGGTCGCTCCTTCTTCCGTTTCTCTCTTACCTCTTGGTGTCTGATCGCCCCTACCACCCACCGGGGGGAGGGGTTTGAGAGCTCCAGTCGTTCCAGGGGCAACGATTTGGGGTGGGGATAGGCATAGGGGGGGATGCATTGACCCCCAGTCGCCCGTTGAGGGTCCGATAGCCCCAACCCGCCCAGCAGGGTGCGGATTGAGTATCGGGGCCTATCGCCGATCCCAGTCCCCCCCCCTGCCACTGCCCCTCGCCATTCGACACGACAGCCCGCAGCCTCGAGACGTCGGGGAGGAGGGGCAGGCGCGCGCCGCTGTTGCCGCGGCAGCTCGCCGCTGTGCGAGCTGCCCAGCCCTGCCCGGGGAGCGGGCGACCTCCCCGAGCGGGGGGGGCGTCCGCCTGCACTCGGCCGTCGCCAGTGCCCCACGCCTCTCGCGCACCCGTGGCTCAGAGGAGGGCAAGGCACCCACACCGCTGCCCTTCCCTGGCTGTTCCTTCTGGGGGGGGGCCCTCTGGGGGGTCCTCCTCGCCGCCACGGCGGGCTTCGCATCGGAGTCCTGGTCAGGGCGCTGCAGGGCGCCCCCCCTGGAGAGGTCCGGGGAGCAGCGGTATCGGTACCTGGTATCGGTACCTTTTGGCTTCCCCAGTAGTGTGATTCGGCGCGGCGGTACAAACGGGCGGGTAATTGCGACGTGCCCTCATACGTCCTCTTATACATTTATGTGCGTACATATATATATATATATACACATCTATATGCACATACATACATATATCTATATATATATATATATATATATATGTGTGTGCATGTATACAGAAATGTTCCCTGAACCTGTTACACATGGCCTGGGCACGCGCGCTGAAGGCCTAGCCTGTTCTGAGCGTAGCGGCCGCAGCGCCCACACCAGACCCAAAGATCCGTGCGCCGCAGGTGACAGGCCGTGCGCTGTGACCACCACCCACGGCTCAAGCCTGACTGGAAGGCCGGCCACGGCGTGACCCTCACGCCGTTTGTCGACGATGCTTGCCCACTCGCGCCGCGCTTGCCGCAGCGCTGGCCGCGACCAGCTGCAAGCGGATGCGCGGGGCTTCGTGCCTCGCGGCGGCTGCGGTCGCATGTCTGGCAATCCGTCCTGAGTGTTGACCACGCGCTCCGCTCGAATCCAGAGAGGAAGAAATGGCACACACACACACACACACAAGTTGTCGGTTCTTGGACCGGCGTTGGGCCCCCCTCGGCCAATGCTTATGCAGGTTCTCTTTTTCGATTGAGAGGCCAAGGCGGAGCGGACCTGGGCTGCTGGCTCCTGGCAGGTCTTCTGGGCATAGACCAGCGGCTCGTTGCCTCCGCTGGCCGCGCCTTCGCTGGTCCAGGCGTCGGCGCCGCGGCTGGCCATGGCCGGCAGGCGCTCCGCAGCTGAGGCGCCCGGCAACTGCGCGTCCGAGGGGTGGGCCTTTTGGCAGCAGGGCCTGGGAGCCTTGCGTGTCCTCGCAGCTCCGCCTGCAGAGTGCGTCAGCGCCAGCGTGCGATAGCGCCGGGCAGTCGATGAAAACGCGCCATACCAGCGTCGATTGGCCATCGACATTGCGTCAAGCAGCGTTGCAAGAACCGGCAAGATGGCATGGGAGACTTCAGCGAGTTGCCACAGACGTGGGCCTGATGCCGCCGGGCAGATGCCCTCAAGCTAGATCCAGATGCGCCGCAATATGTTAGCTTTCGGACGGGCAGGGCACGTGCATGCGCTGAAGGCCACTAGGAACCTTTCGGAAGGGTTCAAAACATTAACCAACAACCGTTTGTAAACGTGTGGCGGCTGTATGTAAACAGGACAGCTCTACACCATGCGAACACTGCCCCTTGGGCCTTCAGTGGAGCCCAAGCGCGTGAGGGGTCTTACGAAATAGGGCGGGCCCCATGCATACCCAGCCTCTGGGGCCTTCGGTGGTCTTCCATATCGGGCCACGGAACGTGTGAGCGGTCTGCCGACATGGGGCGGGACCGCATGTGAACGCAGCCATTGGGACATTCGGCTGAGCTCCCAATGGGTACAGTATAACATTGGAGCACATGACGGTTCTGAGCATCGTTGAGTATTGCGAGCTACGGCAACGACAAGTCCATGGCGCCCTGTCAAACGCAGCATCCACGCCAGCCGTAATTCTGGCTTGCCACAGGAGAACAATCAAGCGCAGCAGCGACCGATTAGAACACATATCAAACGTGACGCGCGTCACTGGCATCATGGCAACGACCGGTCAGACGAGATAGCAATGACCGGGCCCGGCCGCCGTGCTGGCCGAGACCACCAGGCCTTGCGCACATCGTTCCAACAGGCGCGCGCACGATTGGGAGTTCAAAGCCGAAAGATTTCAGTTGGGATCGCTCGAAGCAACATCTCTTGCATTGTTTTTTGACCGGATGGTGGGGTGTGCGGGGCGCACGGATGCCCTCATAAGACCGGTTTAGTTGCGGGTTAGGTGGTTTTTTATATACATATGTAGCAGCAATCACGAGACGTCTCCAAGACACAAACAGTTTGGCTAATTCCGGCCCGACTTCCCAATACATGAGTAGTACCTGAGTCTCAGCATTTTCAGCGGTCATCGTTGGATGTGCAGCTGGTGGGGACCAATACAAAACCCAAGTGCGCGACGCTGAGGCGAGGTGCGCCACGCGTGCCAGGCGCGCCAGGCGCCCCTGAAGCCCAAACTCCCACGCACTCCTGTTTCGCCAGATGTGCCACATCCTCCTCGTGCGCCATTCGTGCGCCATGTATGCCGCATGCTCCAGCCGCGAAAGATGCGCCACGCTTGGGGCACGCGCAGAGTATGCCATGTGCTCCTGCGCACATCGGGACAAAACTCGCCCCCCACCATCCTTGCCGAAAACCAATGAACAAGCGCGACAGCGTGGCTATCATGATGTCTGATAGGCCTGTACGCAGCAGGCAGTACGCCAGCACCCCTCCGTCCTTGCCGAGAACCGATGCAAGCTGATCGCGGGGTGCCCGCGCATGATCCAGATTTAGCCGCGAAGTGCAGTCTGTTTTGCGTTTTGCAGGGGATGGTGGCCATGCGCATAGCTGGGCATCATATGCTGACACCCCCGCCGTTCCTGTCAAGCAAACACTACGAACTGCCCGCGGGGCCCCCGAGCATGACCCAAGATTCTGCCGCGAAGTGCACTTTGCATGGATCTTTCGACAAGGATGGTGTGTTTGGGGGGGAGTGGCATTAAATCGGGCATGTCCCTCTACAGCAGGAATATCCAAAAACAGTGCAAACTGGAGACGACTTAAAGAATTTATTTGGACTATTGTGGAGCTTGTTTTGAATACTTGTTTTTCGTTTTCGTCCGAAATCCGGCTGTAGGGGGGCATGCCCGACCTAATGTTAGCATTGCACGCATCAGGCAATATACAAGCGCCCAACCGCCCCTGTCAAAAACCAATGCAACATGATCGCGGGGCGTCCTCGCATGATCCAGATCCTGGTGCAAAGTGCACTCTGTATTGTTTCCGTGCGCTGGATGGTGGGGGGGGCGAATGACATGGTCCCGGTGTTGCCGCCGGTCAGAGGGGGGGCGTGGCAGATGGGAGTCAGGGGAAGTAGAATGAACCCCTCCCCATCAGGAAAGGCGGGCTGGAATTCTTTGTTTTGTTCTTTCCAGCCTAAGGCAGAGCTGAACATGTCTAACGCAGGACCTTCTCCTGGGCCACACTACGCTTGGCAAGCCTCGAGGATCCTGGCGGCGGGCCTTGCTGCACTCTCCGCAACTGGCGCTTGCCGTAATCCTTCAAAAACGAGGAGCGTCTCTTGCTCGAAAGGAAAGGCAGGCTGGAAGAGCAAACTCTCTAAACAACCCGCGCCCAGATCTCGGGCTCCGGCAGCGCCCGCGCCGGCGCCCAGCGGCTCCTGCAGGGCATCGGCGCGCAGTGCTCCCGGCGGGCGGGGGCCCCGGAGCCTCCACTCCCAATGGGCGATGGCGAAGGCGAAGAGGGCGGCCCCTCCTGGGACCAGAAGCTGGCGGCCGACTGGGAGGCTCTCAGGTTCGCCCCGCAGGACCTCGGAGGGGGGGCGAAGCGTCCTGGCCACGAAGGGGTTTTGGTGGACTGTGGCCTCCGTGGGCCCTGGCTGGGCCTCGGGAATTGCAAGAGACGACTCGGGATGAGAAGCCCTTCCCAGGGAGGGGGTCCAGACCTCTGCGGGTCCGCGTCGGGGGTCTTGTCCCTCCAGAAGGGGACGGGAGAGATGCCGGTGCCGGCGCCGGAGCCCTCGTCGCCGCGGCCAGATCCTGTTCGAAATTTTGGTCAGAAGGCTTTCCGAGGGAGGTCTGGGGAGCAGCGGGTTCGGGAGGGGAAAAACACAGACATAATTGATCGTCGATTCCCAGAAAAAAATGGAAAATATGGGAAAAGGGGGGGAAAACTAAATTTCAGGAAATATGGACAAATCTGGGGAATCCTTGGATTTGCGTGTATTTATTTGTGTATCCCTGGGCCCCTGTAACGGTGCCTTCTCTGTCTTCTGCTCCCAGGACTACCGCGCCAACAGGGAGGTGGTGCTCGCCCTGGTCCGGCGCAGCGGCCACGCCCTCCAGTTCGCCTCGGAGGAGCTCCGCGGAGACGAGGAGCCGAGAGCGGGAGCCCAGACCCCCTCGCGTCCCGAGGCAGTTGCGGCGGACGGTTCGTTGGCGTGTTCGGCCTCTATAGAGGCCCTCGCCAGGCCCCAGGGCCGTCAAGAAGGGGCTCGGGACGGAGTGCCGTCCAGGGGAAGGGGTCCAGGCCTCTGGGGGTCGGCGCTCTGAAAAGAAGACCACGACGTCGTGTGGGTTTTTGGGAAAGGACATCAATCACATGCTGCCGTTTGTAGCCCGTCAGCGTGTTACTCCTTCGCTCCCGTCCCCAGGTATGGCGTTTCTTCAGCAGTGTATCCTCACGCCCCACGCTGATGGGTCCCCACTGCGGTGTGGCATTGATGATACGTTCGCTCTCCAGAGGAGGTAGTGCTGGAGGCTGCCAAGCACAGCTTCGGCGACGCGCTGCAGTACGCGCCGATCGCCATGCGCAAGGATGCGAGGGCCCGCAAACGGGGCGGTGACCACACCGTGCGGTGAGTCTGGCTGGGCTCGGGGACACCGCACGGTTTTGGGACTTGAGCCGTTCTCCAAGGCGGTTCGGACGACTGGGGCCTCCGAGGCCCGCCTATTTCAGGCGATCGCAAACATGGGTCAAGGGGGCGTGGATTAGCGACGGGTCCCGTTTCCATGGGAAATCGCGGATTTCCGCCGCCGAGCGAGGCGGCACCAGCCGCATTTTGGGGAGGGCACTTCCCCCGATCCATGGATTTGGCCCCCGCGCGCCAAATCCATTCATCCATGTTTGCGCGCCCCCGACTATTGCGCGGCAATGGACCGTGAGGTGAGGCCCTTGGGGATTCCGAGGTCGCCGCACCCTCTGTCACTGCACTCCTTTGGGACTCCCGTGAATCTAGGTCTCGCGCCGCATCGCCGGTGCATCGGCGATGCGGCTCGACGTGGAGCCCGAGTTTCTCCACGCTGGCGTCGCCGATGCACCGCCGTCGTCGCCGATGCATCGCCGATGCACCAGCGACGTCGGCGCCATCATCCGACCACGGTTCGTAAAAAGCAGCGAAATCGTGGCGTGGCCCGACCCCGTTTTTGCCCGAAAATCTGGCCGGAGTTGCGGCCACGTTCGCTGGACAGTTTTGCGACGAATACGAGTCGTGTATATTAAAATATCGCTGTCCGCTCCCATCTCCTGCTCCTCCCGAAAAAGAAAGGACCCTCGGTTCATGCTGGATGTCCTGAAGCACTGCCCTCACGCGCTGGGCTACGCCTTCGGCCGGGACTAACCATAATAGTGACCCATCGCCGGACTGACCTTGGGTGCAGGCCCATTTGGGTACCCCGATCGCCGAACGCGATGCGACCGGAGCGTCTTGCGCGCTTGTGTGTTGGCCCCCCGTGGCCACCAAAAAGCCACGCACCAAAGGTCACTCTTATCGGCGGCGAGCGAGGGGGGGAAGTGAGAAGGAGAAGGCCTTCTCAGAAGGCTCGGAAAGTCCCCAGGCCTTCCGAGAAGTTTCCTGAGCCCGTCCCCGAAGACACAGGAAAAACTTCTCAGAAGGCGCGAGGGCTTCTGAGAAGCCCCGCCGCCTTCTGAGCAGGCCTCCTCCTCTCCTCCCCCCCCTCGCTCGCCGCCGACCTCCGTCCCCAGCGTCGCTCCCTGCGTGCAGCCGAGGCCGGGACAGGAACGACGAGGGCGCTGTGCTGCAGGAGCTGGACGGCCGGGGCTACTTCTGCGGCCGGCGCGCGGACCCCGAGGTCAAGCAGTGGCGAAGCGTCCTGGCGTGCCTGTAGGCCTGCCAAACAATGTTCTGAGAACCTCTTGTGGTTCCCGCGACCCAGACCCCCTCGAGTCATGAAAAAATCACGACGGGAGGTTTTTCATGATTTTGGGCCTCTGGGGGCCCTTACCGGCCCTCGGGAGCGCCAAAAAACGACTCAGGATGAAAAGCCGGTCATGGGGAAAGGGTCGGGACCTCTGGGGGTCGCGTCATGAAAAAATCATGACGTCGGGGGTCTGCCAAACAATGTTCTGAGAACCTCTTGTGGTTCCCGCGAAGTGCTCTCAGAACACTTCTGGCAGGGACTGTCTTGTTGTATCGCATCGGGCCTATGTTCCAAGAGCACTGTTTCTGTTCTCAGAACATGTTGGGGTCCTGGGAACACTTCGTGGTAGGCCTACACAGGAGTGCCCGGACGGTCGGCCCCTGCTCCACGAGGGCCTGCCCTTCCGGGGCGGGCAGTGCGACCCGGAGCTCGGGGAGCAGTGCCCGGCCTGCGGCCGCTTCCAGGACGGATCGGGGGCGGCCACAAGAGGGGGGTGAGGGGATGAAGGGGGGGGGATGTCATGGCGGGGGCCCCCGGCTCTAGAAGGGCGGGGGGGATGTCATGGCGGGGGCCACGATATCTCTCCAGATCTCAGGGCGCCTCTTCTTGTGTCAGTACGGCCCCGGCTCCCCCCCTGGGCCGCGCACGTGCCGCCGGCCACGAGTTGCGCCCCCTCCCCTCCTGGACCCTGGACGCCTCCCTCCGGGCCGCCCCCGAGACTGGGGCGGCTCGAAGAAGAACAAAAATTGCAGAATCATGAACTTTTGACGCTTCGCGCGGAGTTCTTGGATCAGCGCTGGGCCCCCCTGGCGGCGCCTATGGCGCCGCCCTTGGCACCTGGCGCGCTCCGCGCGCCAGGGAGAGGGGCCCAGCGCGGAACCAAGAAATCCGCGCGGAACACCAACGGTTTCTGTTTGTCGCGTTGTTTTTTCTTCTAACTGGGGCGAAGAGATTTATACAGTCGGACAAGGGTATCAGATCGAAGCCGGTTCGGGGAGGGTGCCCTACTGTTCCTCGTGCTTGCTCTGCAGGGGTACCCTTGGCTGGTCTGTGTGTGTTGTCTGGCGGAGGGTCTCATATTCTTGAAGGATGTCTTCTGTCCTTGCTCCCACTGTACTCGGAGGAGGAGGAGGAGGAGGAGGAAAAGGTACCCATACCGCTGCCCTTCGCTCGCTTCCCCAGTGTCAGCGCTCCCGGGAGGCCCTCGTCGCCACTGCTGGATTCGCCCCGAAATCCTGGTCAGAACGCACCCCGGGGGAGGTCCAGGGAGTAGCAGCTCCTGTACCTTTTTGGGAGGGCTGCCCCATCCTTATTATCCCGGTTGACTGTATGGGTCACGATCGTTGGCCGCGCCATGTGTTCCCGTCGCCCCGAGGGCGGGGGCAACGTGATCCTGCTGCAGGACCGCAACTTCATGCTGCAGGCCGTCGGCGTGCAGTGGATGGCCCTGAGGAGCCGAAGGAGAAGCCCAACCAGACGCCCCCGAGCATCGCACCCCCTGGGGCGCGAGTTCACGGGGGGGGGGGGGGGCGACGAATCGGAAGGGGGGGGCCCTCTATCGGGGCTTGGAGGCATTCCTCAGAGCCTCTGGGGCCTATAGGGGCCCCCTGTAGGGCCCCTTTTCTGCAGCCCTCGCTGCCCCCCCCCTTTTATTGTCCCTCCCATTCGCTCGCGCCCAGCACTCCGGGGATGAGAAAGTTCAGGGTCCCGGGGCGGTTAAAACATATATATATATATGTGTATATATATATATATATATGTATTTCCCGGCAGCTCGCATGTACGGCCGCCCTCCGTCCTTGGAGTTCTCGGCATTGTACAAGACGAGAGCGCGCGGCGCTAAGGCGAGAGCCACAGGTTGAAGACGGCACGTGGTCCATCCCTGCGAATGCTGCTAGTCACGCGTGATGACAAGGTAACCGCTACGATTTGGTACTTGGTCCAGGGGATAAGCAGGTTCGTCCACGCCGCGCTTCCTCCTCGCCGATTCGAACGTGTCTTGGCAGGAGGTCATCAGCACCTGAGCGACGCAGGAAAACGGGTCGTCTGCGCCGACACGGGCGCGTACGCTGCCCGCGTAACTTCGCGCGTCAACGCTCTCTCTTCCAGTGCGGCGTGCCGCGCGGGCGGCTCGCGTACGCCACCGCGTTGGGGCGTGATGCCATCTCGCGTAGGACCCGTTCTTGATCGTCTCTCGCCTGAGGCTTGATGGGGGCCTGGCATCGCTCGGACGTGTGCATTTTTTCTCGGCGAGAACCATTGAGGACGATCCTGGACAATCGAGCAAAAAAAACACGCACGAAACCGGAAAATGCACGGGAAATGGACGTCCGAGCGATGGCGAGGGGGGGGTCGACTACTATCCGGGGCATTCGGTTCTGCACGCCACCGTGCCTGGCCATGGGCCATTCAGGGCTGGACCCGGACCCTGTTTTGCTGGACTCTGGCTGTGTTTTGTGCTTCGTGTCGGCGGGGAGGTATACAGGAAAACAGGCAAGGAGCAAAACGCGAAGCAAGGCGAAGACAAAATGCGAAGAGCAGCGTTCAGGTCCAGCCCTGGGGCCATCCTCGGCCCCTCGATGGTGTGCTTTTTACCCTACCGGCCGAGGCCCGGAGAGGGCGTGTGAGCCGTGCACCCTGGCCAGGGCCCAGGATGGCCTTGGCCGGGCACGCTGGTGTCGTGCAGACGTCGTTCGGTCCCAGACGATCGCGCCGCAAACAAATCGCAGTTTGATGAATTGGCCGTTTTCTGTTCGCGAGAGGGCGTCGCGGCCGTCGCTTTTGCGGAACCAGGTCCGTCGGTTTCGGTCTTAGGTCGGTTTCGGTAAAGGGTGGTGTACTAAAGGGAGGTTTGTCCACCGCCGACAAAAATTTGGGCGGGAGGTTTTGGGCCGTTTTCGGCCTCCGGGGGCCTTTACTGGGCCTCGGGAGTGGCAAAACACGATTCAGGACGAAGAACCGGTCCCGGGGAGATGGTCGGGACTTCCAGGGACCCCGTTCTGAAAAGATCAGGATGTCGCATGTCTGGGGTAGCAGATCATGGGAGCCATGTGTGCCCTCGCACTTTTGCCTTGAGACTCGATTAGTTAGCGTCGATATGCGTCTGGAGTCGGTGAGACAGCGCCGTTCTAGCGCCGGTTGGCGTCGATTGGCGTCGATTCGGAGGAGCAGACAAAGATGGTATGGGAGGCTCCCCATGAGCTGACAACGAAGATGTCGCTGGCGTGCGAGGAGCGCCGAGCCCAAGATCAAGAGGGACCGCGAGGTGGTGCAGAGGGCGGTGCGCAGCGGCGGTCTCGCGCTGTTCCTCGCCGAGGAGGGGCTGCACCACGACAGGGAGCTGGCGCTCGAGGCCAGGGCTGGGCCTCGACGCTGTTTTGCCGGACTTCGGCTGTGCCTTGTTTTTGTTCGTCCTGGGAGGGAGGTGCAGGAAAACAGGTAAGCGTGCAAAACGCAGAGCAGAGCGAAGGCAAACCGAAACAGGAACGTTCAGGTCCAGCCCTGCTCGAGGCCGTGCGGCGGGACTGGCGGGCCTTCGGGCGCCTCAGCGAGAGGCTGCGCTCCGACCCCGAGCTGGCCGAGGTCAGCGAGAGCCATAATCCCGAACCCCACACAACGAAGGCGTAGCCTGACTCGGGTCCCCGTCTTTTACATGGGGGATAGCCGATCCTGGCGGTCTGGTGTGCTACATCTGCTGGAAGAAAAACCTACCCCTAATGTCACCACCTACCAAACCACCCCCACCCAACCCGAAGGCCTCGATTTGCCCTCCATTTCTAGTGGGGGGGGCGTCGGGGAACATTGAAAAAAAAACACGTGGAACCCGTACCCCCCCTAACCCGAAATTGAGGTCTTCGGGTTGGGTTGGGGTGGTCTGGTAGGTAGTCATAATGTTCCCAGGCCCCTTGACTTGGGCCCGCTCCCAGAGGGTCAGGGGGCCCCTTGGCTGCCGATCGCGAGGAGGCCGTCCGCCAGAACTGGAAGGCGAGTGCGCAGCTGGCGCCCGGGCTCCGGGAGGACGCCAAGCTGGCCGAGGATCGCCGGGGGCCCCCGAACTCGTTGCGCGACATCCGGGTCGCCGCGGCGATCGCGGTGGCCGCACATTTGGGCAAGATGTTCCTCGAGGAGCGGCATGTTCTTTCCCAGCCCCCCCCCTCACCGTTCTGCGATAGGCGTGGCTCATTCTTCACAGCGTAGCGACTGAGAGTTGTCGATGCATGTCCACAACATGGGCAGCCATGTTTTCTGTTCACTGGGGGCCGACTATTGCGCAACCGCAAACGGTGTGTTGACCACACCGTGTGGTGAATCAGAGGGGATTCGGAGTCGCCGCACTGTGTTGGGACTCGAGCCGTTCTCCGAGGCACGTCTTGGGCGACTGGTCCCTCCAGGGTTCCACATCCGCGCGGTGTTCGGAGACGGACTTTGCGGTGATGTTTTTCGGGATTCCGAGGGTCACCGCACGGTCTGCCACCACTCGGTTTTGGGGCCCCCAAGATTGGGGGCAACGTTGAAGGTTCGGGTAATCATGTAGTTTTCGTAGGTTCTCGGCGGCTTTTCAGCCTTGGGGGGCCTTCTGGCGGCTGCACCTTGCCGAGAGCGTTCCGGGGTGTGCCCCGATCGTCCCGAACGGCCGCCAGTGGGCCGAGGTGTGATCCGAGAGCCAGGGTCCGGGGCAACGTCAGAGGGGATAGGTTGGGCGTTGCGTCACGGGGGGGTCATCAATGGGGGCGTGGCGAGGGTGGTCCGAAAAGGTACCCAAACGGCACCCAATCGAGCCCCCCGGGGCTCTGGAGGGGCCCGAAAGGGGCACGAAAGGGGACCGTTTCTAGACCCCCCATGTATGACCCCCCCATTTAAGCCACGCCCAAATAGGCGGAGAGGGGTATGCCTCGCCCACTGATCGCGGACACGGGGCCCGACAGTCCACTCCACCCAGGACCGTGCGGATAAACTGTCGGGGTCCCTCGCCGATCCAGCGGTGAGGTATCGCCGATTCCACCTCGATGTGCCCAGACATCCGACGTCGTCACTTTTTAACAACGTTACTCCTCCTCCTCCTCCTCCTCCTCCTCCTCCTCCTCCTCCTCCTCCTCCTCCTCCTCCTTCCTCCTCCTGGACCCCTTCCCCGGGACCGACTTTTCCTCAGTCGTCTGGGGGTCTGGCGAGGCCCCCTGCCCAAGGCCGAACAGTAGCCAAACACCATGCGTCGTGGTCTCTCCGCACTTAGGATCTCAGGATTTCACTCCCTGGGCCTGTGCCCCCCCCCCCATGATTGAGTGCAGGGTCCACTCCGATCGGATCGATCTCGGTTCGGGCGGACAGGATCCGATTCGACTTGGCGGCCCCGTGCTTGCGAGGCCTGGTTTGTGCACCCTGGCACGGCCGATCGGACTCGGTTTTTCGATTCCGCGTCGATGCGGCCCCGTCCGTCGCACGTTCCGATTCGATCTGACTTCCCAGTTCGTTGCTGGCTGAGTTTGGAGTGAGGAGGGATCAGGGGCAACGTTGGGAGGAGGAGGGGGGGAGGTGGATGAGGAGGAGGAGGAGGAGGAGGATGAGGAGGAGGAATGCGGGGCCTGGACCACCTCCAGCTCTTTCCAGAACTTGGCAGCTGCAAGCTGGGATGTTGTGGGGCCAAGGATTCGATTTCCCATTATTGATCGTACCCTATGTTCAGTGACCTGGCTGCTGTGCTCTCTGCTGATGTCCTCCCTGCTTCTGCTCTATCTCGTCGTGGCCTTTCCCCTCCTGCTGCCTCTCTGCTTCCTCACGCTGCTGCCTCGACCCTCTATCATCACCTCAGCGCGTTGCCGCCCGATTCGGTGATCTCGCAAACGGCCGCACTGGCCCAAATCCCACAAGCTCGAGCTGCGTTGCAGCGAGTAGCTCCAGGCTCCGAGGACTGGCTGTGGTGGACTCTTCTCTCTCGGGTAGGCGCCAGGAAGAAGGGGAGGAGAAAAGGGAGGAGGAGGACGAGGAGGAGGAGGAGGAGGAGGAGGAGGATAAGGAGGATAAGGAGGAGAATAAGGAGAAGGAGGAGGAGGAGGAGGAGGAGGAGGAGGAGGAGGACGAGGAGGAGGAGGAGGAGGAGGAGGAGGAGGGTGAGGAGGAGGCGGCGGCCCGATCGCCCGCCCCGCCCAGGAAAGCGCGGATGCTCTTTCGCGGGCCCATCGCCGATCTGTCGGCGACGTATCGCCGATGCCACCTCGACGCCTCCCCCCTGCGCCGGCCCCCCCTATCGGGTGTTTCTCTTTTCCGATTCGATCCGATGCCCCGATGCTTTGGACGCCCGAAATGGGTACCGAAAGAATGGGTACTATGCCCAACAGCAGTTCCTGCTCATTCTGAACAGGACTCGCTGTCCACGCCGCCGCGGCCTGTGTCCGTTCGAGACAGGAGGCCGCCCGCCCAACAGCGGCCGCTGTTGGCTTGGGGCAACATTTGTTGTTGGGCATAGTGCCCACTCTTTCCGTACCCATTTCGGGCGTCCAAAGATGCGCTGCTGATTGACCCTGCCCTAACGATGCGCCTCCCAGACCCCGACGTCATGATTTGTTCGCAACGTCGACCCCAAGAGGTTTCGACCCTTTCCCTGGGGCCCGCTTTTCACCCCGAGCCATTTTTGACAGCCCCTGAGCCCGACGAGGACCCTTTGAGGCCGAATGTTATGAGAAACAGTCCGTCGTGCCTTTGTTCACGACGCGAAGGGGTCTGGGCTTCGCGGAGGTGCATCCTCGACCTGCATCCCTAAGCGTCCATTTCAATTTGAACCCTGGCCGGATCACATCGGGCATACAGTTGTTGCGCAGACCCTTTCTGGCGAAGTTCACCACCTCCAGATGCATCCCGTCACAATCGCATCTTCCCGTATAGACGATCATTGGTTGAACTCGCTGGAGAAATAGGGCCCCGAGGAGGTTGTACGGCAGTGCGCCATGGCATTCGCGTCGCTGCCAGCGAAGCTCCGCGGCGTGCGGGAGCTCGCCCTGGCGGCCGTGGGCTCCGACTGGCGGGCGTACGAACACGCCCTCGAGGACCGCCGTCGTGGTCGCCGTCCCGGTCGTCGTGGTCTCGGTCGCCATCCCCTGACACCCGCGGGTCTTGGCCGTCTCCAGCGATGCAGTCGAGGCTATGAGCTAAGGACCACGCTGGGCCCAGGAGGGGTTCGGGTTTTATGGCCGGCTCCGCAGATCCAGGCCAGGAGCCTGTCTGACGCCGAGGTCCGCCGTGGGCAGGAACGCCCGGCGAACCCCTCCGTTTTTATTTGGCATTCGTGATGGCAGCGCGCCGACTGTAACCCGGGTTCTCGGGCCCGCCCTGCCCCTCCCATCCCTGACCAGCCTGGAACATATCCCTATCCCTATGCTGGGCACCTCCTCATCACGATGCCAATCTCAGGGACTCCCTTGTTTTTTGAGAGCGAGTCCCTAGGATTGTCGTCGCCGTTTGGCGTGTCCATCTGAGGGATAGGGATACGTTCGAGGCTGGTAGATCCCCGGATAGCTTGACCTTGTTTGTTGCGCAGGTCCGAGGTAGGTACGCAGAGATGGTGCGCGCAGGGGCATGCGCGGGGCTGCCCGGAGCGAACAGGTTCGGCTATCGGTTGGCACCTTCTTCCCCCCCCCCGCCCCCCTTGCAAAACCCAGGTTATCGCCGAAGAACAATCGGGGGTGGACAGAACCCCCAACAGTGACACGTCGATTAGTGAATTGTCCGTTCGCGGTTCTCGAGAGGGCGCCGCGGCCGCTATTTTCCGGGCTTGCGCCAGCCAGGTTTGGGCCTTAGGTCGTTTTCACTAAACCACGTTTTGCTAAGGGAGGTTTAGCCCGTCCATCCCCGAAACAACCCCCACGATCCCTTTTTCTCGATCCGTGGTGCAGCGAGGTCCCGACCGCTTGTTCCCAGGAGCAGATTTCCGTCCCTGGATCACGTTTGGAATCGCGCGCGTCCTCCCAGGGCCGCGATCGAAGACAATCCGCCAGCATTGGTAAAAGAGTACATCTCTTACGGGCAAGAGGTCATGATAATGATACGTTCCAGGATCTTCAGATTTCCAAGATTTCCCTATGTTCCACAAGGGCTGCAGAAAAAGAACGCGTTGTACTACTCGATCCAACGTGCTTATTCGCAAACGTCAGAAGCAACAACACATGCTTGCCTCGATGTAATGGATCGTAGATCTCCCGCGACGGATCCGGGCCATTTGCGAGTAGTGGAACGCGCTCACCTAAACAAGGGCTGCTGATCCTGGGAATTACCCTGGGCCAGCCCTATCGTGACAGCATGCCCGGGCGGGCCGCGCATGGTCGTGGCCGCTGGCCTGAAGAACCCGAATAAGCAATGGATCGTTGCCCACACCATGGGGTTTGCGCCGGCAAATGTCCGCTTGCGTGTCATCACCGCATGGTGGTTTACAGAAGAAATTCAAGGGCACCGCCGTCGCTCAAACAAATGGTATCGGAGGACCCCACGAATTGCCCCAGAGGACTGTTGGCGGCCTTTGGGGGCGCCCACCCCCGTTCCTATGGATTCGCTCGAACACGAACACGTTATCCCGACGCTCCAGTGGGTTTGCGGCCATTGTAGTTTTGTGGACACGTGCAAAAACGAAAGGGCCCCCAGTCGGCGGCGATCCCCGGGGAAATGCCGCCGCATGGGGGCGGGCCTTCTCAGAAGGCTCGGGGGGCCTCGGGCCTTCTGAGAAGTTTGCGGAGGCTTCTCCCTGGGCAGAGTCGGCTTCTCAGAAGGCGGAGGGTTTCTGAGAAACCCCGCCGCCTTCCGATAAGGCCTGCGGCCTCCCACTTGCCCCTGGTATCGCTCGGACGTGTGTATTTTTTTCTCGGCGAGGACCATCGAGGAGCACCCTTGATCATCTGGCGAAAAAACCATGCACGAAACCGAAAGAAGCACAGGAAATGGACGTCCGAGCGATGGCGAGTGCCCCCCCCGGGCGCGCCGCCGAGAGGAGCTGCGCGGGGACCGCGAGATCGCGCTGCGGGCCGTGCGGCAGCACGGCCTGGCCCTGGAGCTGCGTCGGGGGGAAGAGCGCACTACGACGCCTCGAGGCTCGAGGCGTTCGGGCGTTCCCGGCGGTCCTCGGCGGCTCCCCCAGCCTCGGGAGGCGCTCCCGCGGCTGCGCCTCGCCGTGAGCGTTCTGCGGGCGCCTGGAGCGTCCCGAACGGTCGACCGAGAGCCGGTTTATGATGACCCGAAAACCGAGGGAGTCGGCTGGCAAAGGAGGAACGGGAGTTGATACCGCTGCCTTTGCTTCGTTTTCCCCTTTGGGGGCCTACTGGGAGGCCTTCGTCACGGTGCGGATTTGTTCATAAATCTGGTCAGAATGCACCCAGGGAGCGGTTAGGAGTAGCGGTATCGATATCTTCCCATTCCAACAGGAACTGACTGCGGCGAGCTTGAGATCGGACAGGTCCGCCGCCAGATGATGTCCATGTCCACTGCCGTGTGATCGTGTCCTGGGGAATCAGGGAGCGGCGGATGATCATAGATTTTGCCCTTCCATGCGGCGGCGGGTACACATAAATATCTCAATGTATGTATAGATAAATCCATGTATCGTGTATAGAAAGAGGGAGAGAACGAGAGAGAGAGAGAGGGAGAGACAGAGAGAGAAGCAGACATAAGACAAACAAGAGAGAGGGAGGCACAGAGAGAGAGAGAGAGAGACAAACGTAAGAGAGAGAGAGAGAAGAAGCAAGAGAGATATTGCCCAAGCAGCGCTTGCACTTCTAAGGAACTGATTCGTTTTCTAAGGACCTGGACCTGTCTGACGCTGTGGCGGCTACGTCGCCGCCGTCGCCGCCTCGTCGCCGCCCGTCTTCTGGGCTGCCTGCCGTTCTGGTGAGTATGTCGCCGCCCCGCTTCCTTTTCGTCGCCGCTCGTCGTCTTGTCCTGTCTGCCGCTTTTGCGGCTATGTCGCCGCAGTCGCCGCCTTGTCGCTGCCTCGTTTAGGCCCGTTGTCTGGGCCTGTCTGCCGCACTGGTGGCTATGTCGCCGCCGTCGCCGCCCCGTCGACGCCTCGTCGGCGGTTGTCGCCGCCATTAGATTGCACCGCATGTTTGCACCCCCCCCCCGGGATTATCGGCTCCCGTTTTTTTCGTATTGCAATTTACACGCGATCATGCCCCACCGTCCATCCTAACGATGAATTCGTATCATGCCAGCCCAACCGGTATCGACTCCCCCCTTGTCATCCTCTCCGAAGAAAACGATGTGCGCGTGCCGAAATCATCCGAACACCGATTGGTTCCGGCAGGATTTCAAAATCGAGTGTCCAAGACGCGTATAAAAGCAGATGGTTTCGCAACGCGGGCTGTCAAGAAACAATTGCGCTCGCGCACTTGCGAGTTCGCAGGAGAAGCTTCTGCTTGAGTTTTTTCAGAACATGATACCAAACGGTCTTCGCACGCGCGCGTGTCGAACGCCCTTGCGCGCGTGCTGTCGCGAGAATATGTTGCAACAGATGTGGCGAGGTGCACGCACGCGCGTCGTCGCGCACGCATGTCGACATCCTTAAACAACCTGCGGTTTCGTACGGATTTCAGAATCGGAGTGTCAAGCAAACACGTAACAAAAGCCACATGGTTTCGCGAAATCAGTTTTCAACATAAAAGGCGCTCTTGCTCTTGCGAATTCGCAACACAACCACCAGTTGGTAAGCATGCTCACCGAATTCTACCAAACGAGCCACCCGTGCCGAATGTCGAAATCATTCGAACGCCCTTGCTCGCGTGCTGGGGGGTGACACGATCCGCGTCAAATAATTCCATGCGGGCCACACTCGCGCGTCGGCCGCGCACACGTCGAACTCATTTCCAACTTTCCCATCACCGACGCGAGAGCGAGTCATCGTCGTCGGCGTGATCAGCATCGGCGCCGTCAGTGGCCGTACCGTCGCCGCTGCCATCATCGTCGCCCGCACCGCTACCATCATCATCGTGTCTACCGTTGTCGACGTTGCCATAAGACCGCGCCCGCCCACATCGCCGACTCACAGTGACATGCCCTTGGGGGTGTGCCCAGCGGTCAGCGCCACCGCGGCCGCGTCGGTGGCACCAAACTAGCTGGCCGCTGCGCGCGCGAGCCTGCGCGGGCTAGCGCGGCCGCAAAGGAACACCAGCCAACACGAAGCACTCATCGCAATCGCGCCGCATTGGTTTAGCAAACCAAGTTGCGGGAGGGTGGGTGGGATGATTGCGCGAGCAGTGGGGTGGAAAGGTCACTGCGAACAGAATGTAGGTCCTCCTTCCTAAGCAAAGATTGGCTCCAACCCTCCACCCAGGGATTATCGACACCCCTTTTCGTATTGCAATTTACATATGATGCTGGCCCACCGTCCATCCTAAAGAGGAGCTCGTACTATCCCAGCCCAACCGGTATTGGCCTCCCCCGTCATCCTCTGCAACAAATGCTACCAAACATCAGAACTATTCAAGAATTCGTTGCGCAAAATGGGACGAAGTACGCACGCGCGCGTCGTCGCGCGCGCATACCGAAACCCTTGAAACACCCCGGTGTCGTGAGAGCTTCAAAATCGAATGTCCAACATTCATATGCAACAAACACATAGCTTCGCAACACGGATCTTCAAAAACCTCAAAAGTTTGCTCGCGCGTCCTTACGAAGTCATGAGAAGCCCATCGGTTTTTCAGCATGTCAGACAAAGGTGCTGCTAATCTAAAGCCAAGCTAAAGCTAAGCGGAAGCTAAGCTAAAGCTAAGGTGCAGCTAAGGTACAGCTAAGCTAAAGCTAAGCTAAAGCTAAGCTGAAACTAAGCTGAAGCTAAGCTAAAGCTAAGCTGAAGCTAAGCTAAAGCTAAGCTAAAGCTAGAGCTAAAGCTAAGGTGCAGCTAAGCTAAAGCCAAGCTGAAGCTAAGCTAAAGCTAAGGTGCAGCTAAGCTAAGGCTAAGCTAAAGCTAAGCTAAAGCTAAGCTGAAGCTAAGCTGAAGCTAAGCTAAAGCTAAGCTGAAGCTAAGCTAAAGCTAAGCTAAAGTTAAAGCTAAAGCTAAAGCTCTCAGGGGACTGGGGGAACCGCGGGGCGGGGACTGGGGGAACCGCCCGGGGCGCTTTACACTGCCCGGCCCTTTAAGCCAAGAGAGTAAGAACCCTTCCAGGCAGAGCCTATGTAGGGAATGAAGCGAAATGCGCGCGCGCGTCGTCGCGCGCGCATGCCGGAATCCGTCCAACACCCGCGGTTTCGCAACCATTTCAAAACCGAATGCCCAACACACATGCAGCACATGGTTTCGCAACATCAGTTTTCAAAGAAGCGTGCGCTCGCGCTCTTGCGTTTTTTTTGTCATTTAATATAAAAAACCTTCGGTTTTTTTTTTTTTTTTTTTTTTTTAAAGATACGCATGGAATTGTGCTAAAACCATGCGGACCACTCTCGCGCGTCGGCCGCGAACGCATGTCGAACTTCGTCCAAATCCTTCATCACCGACGCGGGGACGCCGTCATCGTCGCCGGCGTGATCAGCATCGGCGTCCGCATTGTCACCAGCATCGCTACTATCATCATCGTGTTTTCCGTTGTCGACGTTGCCATGATACCGCGTCCGCCCAAGTCGCCGACTTGCAATCCAGTGCCCGCTGGGATGTGCCCAGCGCTACCGCGCCGGTCGGTGGTGCCAAGCTAACTGGCCGCTGCGCGCGTGGTAGGGTAGGCGCGGCCGCAGAGATGCATCAACCAATGCCAAGCATGCATCGCAGTCGCCGTCGCATGGGTTTTGCAAACAAATTTGGGGTGGGTGGGATGTTTGCAAGAGCGTGGGATGTGTCAAATCGATTGGTAAAATCAACTGCGCCACGTAGATTGCACCACATAAATTGCGCCACGTGATCGGCACGACATAAATCACGCCATATAGATCGTTCCACATATGTTGCACATCACATGGTGTACGCACATTGATTGCACCACGCAGATATCCCACACATTTACACAACACATGTCGCACACCATACATTGCTAGAACACACGTTTTGGTGTTATCGTTGTTTAGTGCATACGTGCATGATATATACATGCGTACACATACATACATACGTACATACATGCGTACACATGCATACCGACAGACATACTGAAATTCACACACACGTACGTACAAAGAAACATATATACATGCACGCACGCACGCATAAATGCAGACATACATTTGTGTATACGTACCCACCTACATAGGTACATGCACACATACGAATGCAAGCGACTGTGCATGTAGACGTACGTACGTACATACTTACATTCACACGCTTGTATGTATGTGTGTATATATATGTATGAATGTATACACGTATGATATGTACATATGTATATGCCGATCCTCCACTTCTCGAAATCCCAGGGCGCGGCGCCGAAGCGGTGGACTTCGACATGTTCCCAGACATCCGCCGATGTCTTTTTGTTCGATCCGCGGCCCGAGGGGTCCCGACCACTCTTCGGGCCAGTTTTCCCCAACGGATTTATTTCTCATGGTCCGGGGCTCGTTTCATGGCCTCATCAGGCCGAAATCATTGAACAACGCCCGGATCGAACAAAGAAACATATCGTCCGACATCTGGGTATTCTGGCGGTGGGACAGGGACCTCGTCTTCGAGGCCGTGCGGCAAGACTGGCGGTCGCTCAGGCACCCCCTACCACCCACAGGGTGCCCTGTGGCAGAGAGGAGGAAGGGGAACAAGAGGAGGAGGAGGAGGAGGAAAGGAGGAAAAGGGAAGGTATGACACGACTGGGCCCACCGGTCGTCTTGTCTCACGGAAGCAGAGGCGAACAGCGGAAGCTACAGGGAGAGATAAGTCGGCCGGAGGAGGCGGAGGAGGAGGAGGAGGAGGAGGAGGAGGAGGAGGTGAGGAGAATGGTCTCGTAGGAGGCGGACGGGAAGGAGTAGGAGCAGGAGGAGGAGGAGAAGGAAAAGGAGAAAAGAGACAGGGGAGATGGAGGAAGAGGACGGAGGAGGAGGAACAGGAGGAGAAGATGGAATAGGAAGAGGAGGAACATGATAGTAGAAAGGAGAGACAGGAGACGCGGGCGCGGATGGGGCCAAAGGGGAAGGGGGCACAAATCCCATGGGGAAATGGGTCCCGTCTTGCACCACTGGCGGCGTCACAGATTCGCATCCCCCTCGCACGAAGGACGGTCTTTGTGACACCCTCGCAGTGGGGAAACGATGCCTTTCGAATTCTCAGCAAATTCTCGGCGCCCTTCTCCACGAGGTGCCCGGGGTCTTCCGTGGTGCATCGACCACATTTGAAGCAAAATGTCAAGCAGTGCTCAGGCCAGAAGGCGAGCACGTGCGAAGCATGTAAAGAAACCGCGCCGCTCCGAGCGGCCTGCAGCAGGTACCGGACACGGTTCGTCCCCGTCGGCCGCCGCGGCCAGGCTGCTTGCTGGCGCCAGGCCCGTGCACGGCGTGGCACTGATGCTCGGCAGGTGATGGCCAGGCACGAGCTCGGCGGCGGCGAGCCCTGGGGGGAAGGGAGAAGGAGATGGCCTTCTCAGAGGGCGGCGGGACTTCTCAGAAGCCCTCGCGCCTTCTGAGAAGGCCCGCCCCCTCTCACTTGCCCCCAGGGCTCGCCGCCTCGCTTGTGGCAGTGGGTGCGGTGCCATCTGCTGCCGTACTTGGCCACCGCGTCAGCGGAAGACTTGCGGGCAGGCGTCCGAGGGGGGCGCCTGACGCAAACAGGACGCAATCCCTTTCTCCATGTCGGCCTCTGTCGCCCGCTCGAGCGCTTTGCGAGCACGGCGGAGAACGAGGGCCGCTATCACATCGACCTCGTCGGTTCGAGGTTCCTCGCCCACCATCTCGGCCACCTGACGCAGCTCAGCCACCTCCCACGCCCACAAATCGGCAACCTCGTTGCCTAACGCGAGAAAGAGAGTGAGAGAGAGAGAGCGAGAGAGCGCTCGGTGACGACCAAGTGGGCACGCTCGTCAGCGTGCGACGCCACCCACTCGACCAGCACCTCTCCCTCGCCTCGGCTGACCATGGCCGCGTGGTCCGGCTGTCTGAGGTCTGGGCGGAGGGGGAGGAGGAGGAGGAGGAGGACCAGTGTAAACCTAAGATTCATCAACGATGTTGGAATCAACCATCCCTCCAAGTTCCCTCTTCATAGGCCCCTACACAGGTTCATTTTCACTGAGGGGATTGCCTGGGTGGGAGAACCGATTCAAGACCCTGAGGCGTGCCAAACACCAATCTCCGGATTTCATCGCCACAGATCAACTTGATTGTTGCGTATTGACGATCTCGAATCGCACGCGAACATTCATGGGACTTCAACACCGCGAATCAACGTCATTGTTGTGCCCTCGCAATATTGAATCGTGAGTCTTTCCAGAACACCATTTCCGTACGCTCACCATTGGAATCCGTGAAACTCTTGCAGATGCTCAGGACGAACGTTCGCGGCGCAAAGGCGAGAGCCACATTTTGCAAAGGAGCCGCCCTCAATCCGTGAAGCTCTTGCAAATGTTGTGATCGGCGCTACGACGAGAGCCACATTTCGAAAACGGCCCGCCTTCAATCAGTCAAACTCTTGCAAATCAACGGATGTGTGCGGCGCTAAGTCGAGAGCCACATTTCGCCCTCAATCCGTTAAGTTCTTGCATTTTGTTGACACGAATCTGCGCGGCGCTAAGGCGATAACAACATGTTGAAAACGACCCGCCATCAATCCGTGAAACTCTTGCAATTGTTTAAAACGTGTGCGCGCGGCGCTAGGGCGAGATAATAATTTTCAAACCAGCCGCCCTCAATATGTGAAGCTTCAGAGTCATGAGTGGTGAGAGGAAGTCTCAGGCGAAACGTCTGGCCCGCCCTCTCGACCGGCATCGGGCGCGACAGGGAGGAGTTTTAAGGAGGAGCAGTGGAGGCGGATGGAGGTGGAGGAGGAGGAGGAGGGGGAGGAGGGGGAGGAGGAGGATAAGGAGGAGGAGGAGGAGGCGGAGGGGGAGGGGGAGGGGGAGGGGGAGGGGGAGGGGGAGGGGGAGGGGGAGGGGGAGGGGGAGGGGGAGGAGGAGGGGGAGGAGGAGGAGGCGGAGGAGGGGGCCGCTCAGGCACGCGTCGTTGGAGCTGCGCGGCGACCGCGAGCTGCTGGCCGAGGCCCTGCGGCAGAGCGGAGCCGCGCTGCGCCACGCCGACGAGGCCCTGAAGAGCGACCCGGACGCCGTGGGCAACGTGAGGGGCGCGGGCATGGAGGGCTGAGAGGGGGTCGAGGTAGCGAGGGATCGAGCGATCGATATAGAGGATCGAGGGATCGGGGAGGGGATCGAGGAGGAGATCGGCGAGGGGGTCGAGGTACCGAGGGATGGAGTGATCGACAGAGGATCGAGGGATCGAGGAGGGGATCGAGAAGGAGATCGGGGAGGGGATCGAGGAGGGGATCGGGGAGGGGATCGAGGAGGGGATCGAGGAGGAGATCGGGGAGGGGGTCGAGGAGGGGATTGAGGAGGAGAGCGGGGGCAACGTTCGTCTGCGCCTCTTAGATGGGGTCGCGGTAGACGGGGTCGGAGGATCGCGCCGCATCGCCGATACATCGGCCATGTGGCTCGATGTGGAGCCAGATTTTTTCCACGCCGACGTCGCCGATGCATCGGCGATGTGGCGCGATCCTTAGCCCCATTTGGGAGGCCTCCAGTTTGGGGGGGGATAGGCTCAGGTCGGGCAGGGTTCGAGGGACTTCGGACATGTTCGTTGGTTCTTGGCGACTTTTCAGCCTCGGGATGACCTTCAGCGGTTGCGCTTCGCCGAGAGAGTTCCAGGGGTGCCCGAATCGTCTCGAACGGCCGCCAGAGAGCCTTGAAGGGCAACCCAGAGTTCGGAGGCAACGTTATGGAAGGTGGAGGAGCCCTGAGATCCTGGCGCCTCCCCTTTCGTTCAGAGCCAGGCGTTTTCGCCAGCGCCCTAGGACCCTCAGATATCGATCTGGATCGAACAATGCGCAGAAAGATTGTTTCTGGTGCTCTGGTTACGATTTCCGCGATGTTGCATGTTTCCCTACGTCGGATGCCAGGGAGGAATCGGGGTGGCAAGGCTTCACACTGCGCACAGACAGCTGCAGATAACCAGCAACAGCTGTCCTCAACAGGCCCTCCGAGTGGCCCGAGCTGGCCTCGACAGCCCCCCCGAGTAGTCTGTGGCGGTCACCTGCTCTCGGCTGCTGTCCAGCCTCGGGGTGCCTTCCACTGGCTGGTCCTCCTCCTCCCCCTCCTCCGCCTCCTCCTCCTCCTCCCTTTCCTCGTCCTCCTCCTCCTCCTCCTCCTCCCTTTCCTCCTCCTCCTCCTCCTGCTCCTGCTCCTCCTCCTCCTCCTCCTCCTCCTCCTCCTCCTCCTCCTCCTCCTCCTCCTCCTCCTCCTCCTGGGTTGCCCGGATCGTCCCGAACGGCCGCCATAGAGCCGAGTTGCGACCAGAAAGCGCCAGGGAGCACCGTCGGGGGGGGATGGGCTCAGGGGAGGACGCACGGACCCCCACTCGCCCACGGAGCGTCGACAGGGGCCCGACAGCCCACCCCGCCCACTGAGCGCGCGGAGTCACCGTCGGGGGCATCTCACCGATCCAGCGGCGACGTATCGCCGATTGCAGCTCGATGTGCCCGGGCATCCGACGAGTTGACTCTTTCACAACGTGGCTCCCCAGAGGTCTGGACCCCTTCCCCAGGACCCTCAGTCGCCCATTGAGTGCCAAGATTGACCTCATAGCCCACCCCGCCAAGCAGTGTGCGGATTCTTTGTCGTTGGCCTCGCGCCGATCCAGCGGCGATATATATGGCCAATTCCAGTTCGATGTGCCCAGACATCCGACGTTGTGACTTTTTCACAGCGTGGTTCTTCAGAATTCTGAACCCCTTCCTCGGGACCTGCTGTTAATCCTGAGTCGTTTCCTGACGGTCCTGGAGCCCAGTGAGGGTCCCCCCAAGGACTAGAACTGTCAAACACCCTCCGTCGCTGTTTCTCCGCAACGAAGCGACGTCAGGGTTTCCTCACAGCTGGTGCCCCCTTAGAGGGTCTATTCCGATCCGATCCATCCGATTCGATGCTCATTCTCTCGATCCAATTCGATGTCGATGCTCGGCGATGTATCACCATTTCCAGGCCGATGTCCCCCTCACCTGAGCGGGGGATGCTCCAGGGCATGCTCTGGTGGTGGGGCGCTCCCACAGAGCCGCCGGGCGCGCCACGCCTGCGGGCGGAGGAGGTGGAGGAGGAGGAGGAGGAGGAGGAGGAGGAGGAGGAGGAGGAGGAGGAGACGGTCCCCCCCGATTTCTCATTGCCCCTCAAGGAGTTCGTGGCCATGGCCATGGCGGCGCAGTGGAGCACGCTAGGCCAGGCTGGGCCACGCCCCTGGAGATCAGAGGAGGAAAGGGCACCTGGGATGGCACAAGCTACGGATGGGCAAGGTCCATGAGCAGGATGAACCATTCTGTAGATGTCAATTCAAACGTAGGTCAGCCAGAGCGCCAGATCTTGCAGGATCCTGCAAAGTCTGGGTTGCACTGACCCGGGTCAGCGCGCAGGATCCTGCAGGATTTTGCAAAGCCAGACTGACCGAGGTTTGCATTGACCTGGGTCAGTAGAGGAGACGGGGGGACGCGACGGCGGATGGGGAGGCGGGGGAGGGGGGCGGGGGGAAAAAGGCGGAGGCGGAGGCGGAGGCGGAAGCGGAGGAGCATGAGGAGGAGGAAGAGGAGGAGGAAGACGAAGGGGAGGATGAGGAGGAGGAGGGGAGGAGGAGGAGGAGGAGGAGGAGGAGGAGGAGGAGGGGAGGGAGGAGGAGGAGGAGGAGGAGGAGGAGGAGGAGGAGGAGGTGAGGAGGAGGAGGAGGAGGAGGAGGAGGAGGAGGAGGAGGAGGAGGAGGAGGAGGAGGAGGGAGAGGTAGAGGAGGAGGAGGAGGAGGAGGAGGAGGAGGCGGAGGAGGAGGAGGAGGAGGAGGAGGAGGAGGAGGTGGTGGAGGACATGGGTGGCGGCGGGGCAGCAGGTCGGTGGGGCGGCTGTCGCGGGAGGACCGGCAGCGGGGGTGCGGTGGGCTCGCGCCGCGTCGAGCGGCGGCGACCCCGCCGCCAGCGCTCCACGTGGAGTGCCAACGGTGGCCCAGAATCGATCGAACGTGGAGTTCCACGTGGAATCGATCGAGTTCCACGTGGAGTGGAATCGATCGAGTTCCACGTGGAATCGATCGAGTTCCACGTGGCCCGAACCGTGGCCACGTGGAGTTCCACGTGGAATCGATCGATGTCGAACGATCTGACGCTTCGGAAGCGGCCGGTCGTTCGAGCTTGAAGGACCATCCTGGGCCATCGAACCACAAAAAGCACGCACGAAACCGAAAAATGCACGGGACATGGGCGTCCGAGCGACGGCGACGTCCGAGCGACGGCAAGCGATGGAGTGCCAACCGTGGCCCGGAATCGATCGCTGTCGAACGATCTGACGCTTCGGCAGCGGCCGGTCGTTCAAGTTTGAAGGATCCCTGCGGTGTCAGCGCCAGGGTCGTCACTCGGGGGCGGAAAAGAGGGGGGTGATGACTAGGGGGGGGGATCATGGCGGGGGTCATGATGTTTCCCCAGATTTCATGGCGCCTCTTCTTATTTCATTACGTTCCTGGCCCCCCCGCTGGGCCGCGCACATGCCGCCGGTCATGATTTGCACACCCCCCTCTTGGAGACCCCCCTCTTGGCCGCTCCCGAGTCACGACATCACATTGCCGTGTGCACCTGCACCGATCCTGGCCAGCCAGATCTTGGGCCCAGGAGCAGCCTGGCCAGTGCCGGTGTGGGTGCATGCCTGGCGTCCTCCTAGTGCCGGTGCCACTTCACCGCAGCTGGATTCTTTTCGAAATGGTTGACGTTTCGCGCATCCCCACCAGCTTCCAGCCGCCTCCGCAGCCTGCAGCTTCCACCCCTCGGCGCAGCTCAGCCCCGGCGCAGCTGCTTCCCTCGGCGGTAGGTTTAGCCCGTTTGCTCGGCGCGCGCGCCGGCAAGTAGGTTGCTCGTAGCCCGAGCTAATTCTGCTGACGCTGTCGGACCCGTTGGCCTGCAGCTGCGACCAACAACATCCCCACCAGCCCGCATGGCGTTGGTCGACATCCACCGAGGCGCCCGACACGGCTGTCACGTGCGCCCGCGGTTCCATGACCTGGCCCTGGACTCGCTGTGTGTCCTGCTGGCGGTCCTCCTCGTCGTGTACGTGGTGCCGATCAGCTCGAATTCCGCCATTTGGGTGTTGCATCTCGCCTGGAAGATTTTCCTGGTGCGCGCCTTCCCCTGAACGGCAGCGAGGTTCGCCTCCCGTTTATCATTAATTGTCCTCTTTCGGTGCGCGTAATTCAAGCCGCTGCTCGCTCGTGGCGCCTCTGACGCCGCCCGACTTCCTTCGACGCGGCTGCGATCAAAAAAGTATCCCCACGAGCCCATCCAAAAACGCTGCCCAGGGGCGTTGAGGTGACCAGTGAAGCGGGGGAGCACGCAGACGAACAAAGTGCGGGGGAAACGGGAGAGGTTGTAGGAGGTCGTCGGAGTAGGAAGAGGAGCAGGCGCAGGAGGACGAGGAGCAGGCGGAGGAGGACGGCGAAGAGGAGGAGAAGGGCGGGAAGAAGGGTCAGGGGCCTCTCGGAGATTTTTGGGATGCTTCTTGGGAGCTTATTGGAGGCCACTTGGGGCATCATCGGGCTTTTTGGGAACATTGTGGTTGCTCCAAGGGAGCCTTTTGGAACCTCTTGGCTGTCTCTGGGGGGCATTTGTGGGGGTCCTTGGTGGCATATTGGGCCTCCTGGGCGCCTGGTGGGCCGATCTTGGAGGTCATCGACCGAATAAGGGGAGGAAGGAAGGGGGGGGGCAATTAGCCTTGCCCCTCGTTAGCCTCTCAAATCGCCTCTTGGGGCGCTATTCGAGGGCCCTTGGAGCGTTATATGCGCTCTTGGCGCCGTCTTGGGGCTCTCTTGGGCCCCTTCCTGGGGCCCTCTTAGGCCATATGGGAGCCATCTTGAGGCCTCGGACGGCCACCGGAAGCGAAGAGGCGAGAAAGCAACACAACATTATTTTTGTAGATTTTGGAAGGATGTTTGCCTGTGGGGGGCTTCCTTGGAAGTCTCGGAAGCCTCTTGGAGCCGTCTTGGAATGTTATCAGGGCCTTTTGGGGAAATATTGGGAACTATATTGAGGCATTCTGAGCTATCTTGAGCCATTTTGGATGCCCCCTTGGGCTTTCTGAGGTCCTCTCGGATCCGTCTTGGGCGAAAACGTATTCTCTGACACTTCGCGCCCGCCCCCGTTCAGGTCTTGAGGAGTGGGTCATGGGGGAGAGGCAAACCCTTCCCCGAAGGGGAAGAGTCAGGTTGGAATCCGAGAGGGTTAGTGGGATTCTGGTCACAGCGCCACCGAAAAATCACGACATACGGTTCGTGACAGTTCCCAACCATCATGTGGTGTTGGGTCCTCGCTCTGAAAAAGCGGCGCCCCGTGTTTTCCCTTCCTCCCACTCCCTCCTGCCCTCTTCCCCTTCCTTGCTTCTGCTCTCCGCATCAGTCTATGATTGCGGTACACACGTCGCACGTTTCGTGGCCCCACAGGGAGCTCCACCGCAGGTCCCAGTGGCGCATTTCGCATGCCGTCCCGCACAGATTCCGGCACTCTCCTCACATGTTTTTCGGCCCCGCAGGGAGCTCCACCGACGGTCCCAGTGGCGCATTTCGCATGCCGTCCCGCACAGATTCCGGCACACTCCTCACATGTTCTTCGGCCCTACAGGGAGCTCCACCGACGGTCCCAGTTGCGCGGTTCGCATGCGGTCCCGCACCCATTTCTGCACACCCTCACACGTTCTTCGGCCCCATCGGGAGCTCCACCGAAGGTCCCAGTAGCGCAGTTCGCATGCGGCCCCGCAGCTATTTCGGCGCACCGCTCACGTGTTTCGTGGCCTCATAGCAGGTCCACCGAATGTCCCAGTGGCGCAGTTCGGATGCGGTCTTGCACATATTTCGGCTGGCTCCTCATACGTTTCGTGGCCCCAGAGGGAGCTCCAGCGAAGGTCCCAGTGGCGCAGTTCGCATGCAGTCCCGCACCAGTTTCGGCACAGACCTCCCCACCCCCACTTCTGGCGCACCCCTCATGCGTTTGTGGCCCAATCGGGAGATCCACCGAATGTCCCAGTGGCGCAGTTCGCAGGCGTCCCCGCCAACAGTTTCGGCACACCCCTCACACGTTTCGTGACCCAATCGGGAGCTCCCCCGAAGGTCCCAGCGGTGCAGTTCGCATGCGGCCCGCCACCCATTTCGGCACACCCCTCACGTTGCGTGGCCCCATTGGGAGCTCCACCCAAGACGATGCTCACAACTGCGCTACCCACAACTGCATTTGGTTGAGCATTTCGCCAGGCTAATTGTCGGCCTCCAGGGGCCCTTAAGGGGCCACGGGGCCGTCAAAAAAGGGACTCAGGATGACCAGCCTGTCCCGGGGAAGGGGTCCGGGGTCGGGGAGCCGAGTCATGACCCGAAAGCCAGGGCAGTTAGAGGAGGTAGGGGTGCTCATACCGCTGCCCTTGCCTCGTGTTCCACTTGTTGTGCCTCCCGGGAGGCCCTCGTCGCTACAGCTGGATCCGTCTTCGCAATTCCGGTCAGAACGCACCCCATGATAGGTCCGTGGCGAGCGGTATCTGTATTTCTGTTGTTGTCCCAAGACTTCCGACGAGATGATGTTTGTCAAGGGACGTTGTTCCCTCATGTCGGCCTTAGGGGGCCGTTTCCAAGATTTGTGCACATATCCATTGCGTCTTGGAGTGTCGGGCTGCTTTCCCCAGAAACCAAAGGCGCAGTGGACGTGAATCAAGATCTGGCCCCTAATGCTAGGTTTTTTAAATCCGTATCCACTCCGTCTCGGCCATGTGCTGGCGCCCCTTCCCAGAGAGCCAAAGACAGTCCCAGACGCAGTGAATGTGGATATAAATTTGGCCCGCGTGGAAAAGATCAAATCGGCGGATGCCTGCAGGGCCCCAGGGCAGCCGTGCCCCTCCCCGGAGGGGATCCATCCGCCTCGATGCGATGGGCTCCCCCGGGGGGTGGGGCGATGGGCCTGTTTTCCACCACCACCACCAGAAGTTGGAGGGGGGAAGGAGGAGGAGGGCGAGAAGGAGGAGGATTTAGAGGAGGAGGAGAAAAAGGAGGAGGAGGAGGAGGAGGAGAAAAAGGAGGAGGAGGAGGAGGAGGAGGAGGAGGAGGAGGAGGAGGAGGACCCCCTCCCTCCAACTTCTTGGTGGCCATGGCGGAAAGCACGCCCATCGTGGGGGGCACGGTGAGGCCGCGCCGCGGCGAGGATCGACGCGGCGGCGCCCCGGCCCGGGAGCCCGGCGCCAGTGGCCCGCAACCGGCCGGTGTGCGAAGGATCTGCGCTGTCGGAAGGGCGAGGAGGAGGAGGAGGAGGAGGAGGAGGAGGAGGTTGACCAGGAGGCGGAGGAGGAGGAGGAGGAGGAGGAGGAGGAGGAGGAGGAGGTTGACCAGGAGGCGGAGGAGGAGGAGGAGGAGGAGGAGGTTGAGGAGGAGGAGGAGGAGGAGGAGGACCAGGAGGCGGAGGAGGAGGAGGAGGAGGAGGAGGAGGAGGTTGACCAGGAGGCGGAGGAGGAGGAGGAGGAGGGAGGAGGTTGGAGGCGGAGGAGGAGGAGGAGGAGGAGGAGGAGGTTGACCAGGAGGCGGAGGAGGAGGAGGAGGAGGAGGAGGAGGAGGATGACCAGGAGGCGGAGGAGGAGGAGGAGGAGGAGGAGGTTGACCAGGAGGCGGAGGAGGAGGAGGAGGAGGAGGAGGAGGTTGACCAGGAGGCGGAGGAGGAGGCGGAGGAGGAGGAGGAGGAGGTTGACCAGGAGGCGGAGGAGGAGGAGGAGGAGGTTGACCAGGAGGCGGAGGAGGAGGAGGAGGCGGAGGAGGAGGAGGAGGAGGAGGAGGAGGAGGAGGAGGAGTAAGCGTGCATGGTACGGCAGGTGGACCGATCCACATCATCTCCCCGAGATTCGACGCTGCGGAAACAGGCGCAGCGTCGGAGCAGATCGCGACCGGAGCCCCGGGCCCCAGCTTCCGGCTGCTCGGTCGAGTTGTGGTGGCCTCCGGGCCCCGAAACTTGGGCGAAAGCCCCCGAGTGAAGAGTCATCGGCGGCGACCACGGCGACAACGTCGTCGTCGGCGTCGACCGCCGGCCGCGTCGCCGACTTCGTCGACGGCGGTCGGCGGTCGGCGGCGACCGGCACGCGGGCGGCGGGGGCCCCATCTTCTTGCGGCACTGTTCTCGGAAATTGACACAGATACCTTGCCCATCGCTCGTTGAGAGTAGGTATTATTGGATTCCCAGAACCCAATCTATTTCAAGCGCCTTCCTACTTCAAGAATCGATATGCGTTTGCTGCGTTTTGTTATTCTCTGGGCGGGCCCGAACCCAATCTACTTTATCCGTCATGCTTCTACCTACTTCGTCCGACCCATGGGTACCTCACCGCAACAGTGCCTACTCGCAAACGTCCGATAAAAGCACGTTATCCTCGGTGCAGTGTATCGTGAATCCCCCGCGGCGGTTCCAGGCCATTCGCGAGTAGCTGCGTTGCGAGTCGTGGAAAGCGCTGGTCCATTATCAATATCGGGCTGTTCTGCAATCTTGAGGGTCGGGGACGACGTCGGGGTGGTGTGGTGTATACTTTTAGTTCCCCGTTTCGCTGGGAAATATCGGAAAGCGTAAACACCAAGATCCAGTATACACGAGGATCCGCTTTCTTGTGCACGGTGTTTGGAGTTCGGGTCTTTGTATGCGAGCCCAATACACGCCAGTCGTTGAAAGTGGGTATTTCAGGATTCCCAGATGCCACTTTGTTTCAGGCGACTCCCTACGTCAAGACTCGTTCTGCTCATGCTGGGTTTTGTTACACTCTGGGAGGGCCTGAACCCACTCCACTCTGTACGCCTTCCTGCTTCCTGCTTTCATCTGCACCTTCCGACCGACGTGTAGAGATGTGTGATGGCCCCGAGGCCCGAGACTGGGGGTGTGTTAAGACCAGACGCAGTCAGGGTGAGGATCAGCCGAGAATCTCCGAGATCCGGCGGCTCGTGAGGATGCCTCGCGTGCCGCGGCCTTCTCGGAGCGCCCCGGGGCGTCCGGGAAGGGACTCGTCCTCGCCCTATAGCGCCGTCCGATGTGGCATGTTGCAGCGCCCAGCTCTCTGGGTGGGCGTCGGGCACCAGCGCGCGCAGGTCGCCCCGGCGCGGTCTCGCCGCAGGGAGCACGCCCCCCCCCCGGGCCCGTGGCCGGGCCGCGAGGCGTGGCCGTGCAGCCGCAGCACCCGGAGCACGACGGCCTCTCGCACGAGTTCTGGCTGGACGCGGCGGAGCGGTTCTCGAGGGAGGAAGCCCGCTGGGCTGACCGCGGGGGTTGCTGAGGGGACCTGCTCCTCCACCGCCTCCTCTTCCTCCTCGTCCCCCTCGTCTTCCTCCTCGCCCTCCTCCTCCTCCTCCTCCTCCTCCTCCTCCTCGTCTTCCTCCTCGCCCTCCTCCTCCTCCTCGTCGTCGTCGTCCTCCTCCTCCTTTCCGTCCTCCTCCTACTCCTACTCCTTCCCCTCATAGGGGGGTTACAAGCGGATGCCAAGGTGGCTGTAACAGGTGCAACTTGGCTTTCAAGTGGGTTGCACATGCCGCTAAGTGGGCGGAGCCCACTTTGCCCAGGTTGCCCACCCCCCTCAATCCATTTGGCGCATATGCAATTCATTGGTATATGCCAGGTTGGGCCAGATATAACCACCTTGGCATTCGCTTGAACCCAATTTACTCCTGCGAGTAGCCCTGCGGTCATTCCAGTAGACGTGCTCGCGTCGTGAACAAAATCACAGACGGAATTTGTTGGTCCGTTTTTGGCCCGGGGGGCTCTCACCGGGACCCCGGGCAACCCCGTATTAACAAAGAGGGTCCATATCGCGTGTCTGGATCTCGAGAAACATAACATTTCGGCACTCCACGCAGATCTCTTGGATCGGCGTTGTGCCCACCTCGACGGCGCCGCCAAGGGGTCCCAGCGCCGATCCATAAAATCCGCTTGGAGAATCAACAATGTTGGTTTATGCCGTCGTTTCTTGACGTGGACCCCAAGGCTTACTTGGGCCTTGCTTTTCATCCTGAGTCGGTCTTTGATGTCCGTGTTTTTTTTCGTGTGCCGACCCTGAGATCCGACGTTGCGAAACAATGCAACATCCCAGGGGATCATGACCAGAGCCCTAGACCCCATCTTCCTGCGGCACCCTTCGAGCCCGATCGACCGACCTGTTGAGGATCCCCAGGGCCCGAAACTGGCAAACGCCTGATGTGAAACAGAATGTTCCGAACGTATGTAGTTTATGCCGTTTCTTCGGCGCCACCCGCACATATTTGTCCATAGTGGGCCCCATGCCAAGAAACACCTTGTTTGCCTCCAGGGTGCCCTGAATGGTTTTGCGATGGAAAGCGTGACGTTCCCACGCCAAACATCCATGGACGTCCTGGGGTCTCAGGGTTGGGTTTCTTGTGGAAGGTTTCCTGTGGAGCGGCCCCCACTGTATTTGTCCTATGTGTACCCCGGCCTCCCAAGGGCACCGCACGCGCTCTGAAGTCTTCTAGTATATGCTCGGTGGCAGGCGCTTTCTGGCCACGCCGCCTGCGTGGCGATGTACTGCGATATGCCAATGCTGTATGGTCGGTTCGGCGTCTCCTTAAGGCGGGCTCATAACACATACATTGTAGGCCCATGCCAGGAAACACCTTGCTTGCCTCCAGGGTGCCTTGTGTTTCTTGGGATTCGATGGTCTTGCGATGGAAAGCGCGACGTCCCCACACCAAAAATCAATGGACGTCCTTGGGTCTCAGGGTTGGGTTTCTTGTGAAAGGATTCTTGTGGATCGGCCCCCACTGTAGCATATCGTTCAGGCTTGCTCGTGCCGTTCCTTGGGTGTGCGATCGTGGACCCCTTGTTGAACGCAGGCATCGAGTGCTCGCGCCGAAGACCGCTGGAAACCGCCAAAGACTCGAACACTGCCGAAGACCGTCAGAAGACCGTCCGCAGACCACCGAAGACGGCCCAGGAGCGATGGGCAACGAGTGGTCCGTGGTCAGGCACGTAGTTTAGGCCGCTTCCTGTGAAGGAAGTCCTTTTGAGGCCTCGCTCGGCGCGCAATGGTTGTACTGTCTCGTCCACACGTCCGCCCCGTCAGATATGTTGGACGACGTGCGGGCGGCGATAGTCCGACGGAAATGCGACGCCGAGCCAACGCGAATCCCACGCACACCTGACGTGGATCCGGCGCAAATCCGAGGTGACCCCGACGCAGACTCGGTCTCGAGTGGCCGCGCGAGGCCTCCAGGATTTCTCTCTCCACGTTTCTTCTTCCTTCTAGTCGGCGGCGAGCGAGGGGGGGAAGTGAGAAGGAAGAGGCCCTCTCAGAAGGCGGCGGGGCTCCTCAGAAGCCCTCCGGCCTTCTGGCCTCGGGGAAGGCTCAGAGAAATTGTCAGAAGGCAAGAGGATTTCCCTTGCCTTCTGAGAGGGTTCGCGCCTCCTCACTTACAGTTAGGTCGGGCGTGTCCCTCCACTGGAGGAATACTCAAAACTAGTCAAAAAATAGTATGTGGACGAGTTTTAGAGTATTCTTGAGCATGTTTTGAATATTTGTGAACTATGTTTTTATTTTTCATCCCAACTCCGCCTGTAGGAGGACATGCCAGACCTAAATTTACAGTTGGACCGAGGTATGAGGTCGAAGTCGGTTTGGGAAGGGTACCTCATGTTCTTCGTGTTGGTTGGATGTTCTTGTGTATCCTGGGGAGGGTGCCCCAGGCTTTTCTGTGTGCATTCTTGCGCATTCTTGCGCATTCCTGGGAGGGTGCCCCAGGCTTTTCTGTGTATCCTGGGGAGGTTACCCTCGACTGATCGTAAGGCTTGGGGTGTCTCGGCCGGCGGAGGGTCCCATGCTCTGGGGGGATGCTCTCCGGACCCAGGTCCGAATGTGCCCCCCCAGGCAGGCCGCCGACCCACTCCCACGGACCCACTGCCGCCGCATCCGCGTCGGTCCGTCCACATGGCACAATGATCCCAGGCGCGCCTGCGAGCGACTGCCCCTGACCCAGGCGCCCTGGGGGACGGAGGGAACCTTCCGGCCGCCGAGATTACAAGAAAGTGCCGCTGGTTGGAGAGGAGGGGGGAGCAGGAGGAGGAGGAGGAGGAGGAGGAGGAGGAGGAGGAGGAGGAGGAGGAGGAGGAGGAGACGGAGGAGACGGAGGAGGAGGAGGAGGACGGGGACGGGGACGGGGATGAGGACGAGGCCGAGGCGGCCGAGGACGAGGAAAAGGAGGAGGAGGAGCAGGACGAGGACGAGGACGAGGACGAGGCGGAGCAGGCGGCGGAGCAAGCGGCGGAGCGGGAGGAGGCCAGCCGCCGGCAGGTTCCCGGGCCGCGGCACGCGCCCCCGCGCGGCGAGGGCGGCGGCCGGGTGAGGGCCCCGGCGGCCGAGCGGCGGCGCGGCGCGCGGGGCTGCGGGCCGCGCCCCGGCGAAGCGTCCCGGCGTGCCCGTGGGCCTACGAAGCAATGTTCCGAGAACTTTTTTTTGCTTTCGGGCAACACAGATACATGCACACACGCCGCTGATGCGCATTCCCGAGGCGGCAGCTGGACACAAAATTCCCGTCGCCATCCTGGCCTGTCGGCCATGAGGGAGGACGCGCAAGTGACCGGTATAGCCAGGACCCCGGGTAAGGGGACCCGGTCAGTCGTAGGGCCCTGGGGCCCCTCACTTGGCCAGATTCACTAAGCCAGGTTTGCCGCAATCGGTGTTTTTCGGGTGACGGCAGTTCCGGTTCGTGGAAATGGGACGGGGGGGCGCCCCCGGTACAAATCTCTAAACCAGGTTCCACTAAACCCAGCTCTGCCAACGCCCGATTTTTGTGGTTTCCACGAAATGTTTTTCGAACAGTTCTGGCTGGGACTGTCTTGTCTCAGCACATCGGTGTTTTGCTCCAAGAACAGTGTGACTGTCATTTGGACACGTTTGGGTTCTAAGAACATGTCGTGGTAGGCCTTCAGGGATACCTCGACGGTCAGCCCCTGCTTAACATCTCCGCGCAGCCCCGCGAGCCAGGGCGCGGCCCGTGCGAGCAGCCGCACGTCGACGACGACGACGACGACGACGACGGCGACGACGGCGACGGCGACGGCGACGGCGACGGCGACGGCGGCGACGACGGCGACGGCGACGACGACGGCGACGGCAACGACGACGGCGGCGACGGCGACGGCGACGACGACGACGACGGCGACGACGACGACGACGACGACGACGGCGGCGGCGACGACGGGGACGGGGACGACGGGGACGGCGACGACGACGACGACGATGACGACGACGTCTTAACAATTGAGGTTCTCTCCCCCCCCAGGGTTGATGAATAGACCCCGCGGGGCTCGAAGCAACTGTTTGAACCGCCCGCGCCAGGGGGTCTTCGCGGGCGCCGCCGAGGGGGGGGGGATCGTGAACCCCCCCCCGTTCACGGCAGCTTCGAAACGATTGCATCTCGTATAGAAATTGCGACTGGGATCGTATATCCCCGAGGCGAAGATTTCTCTCCTCCCAGGCTGATTACTGACGTGCCGTCGTCGTCCTCGTCCTTGTCGTCGTCGTCGTCGCCGTCGCCGTCGTCGTCGTCGATTTTCGACGTCGACTGTCGACATGTAGAAGGCCCACGCAACCCCAACCCCCATGGGGTATCTGCACGGCGCCGTCGACGTCGTCGTGGTCGTCGTCGTGGTCGTCGTCCTCGTCGTCCTCATCATCGTCGTCGCAGGACGTTGCATTGTGGGGAAAGGGGGGAATAAAAAGAAGAGCCCTTTCTGCTTGCATCTGCCGCTCCTTCCCCCCCTCTGCCCTCTCTTTGTTTGTGGCCACGTCGGCACCGCACGCCAGCTGAGGCGCTTCTTTCCTCCGCATCCTTTGTCCCTCCTGTCTGTCGCAGTTTTGGCCAAACCGCCCTGCTATAGCGGAGGCGCTGATGCCCCCCTCCGCTGAAGTGGCGCCGCTTGCGTCGCGCTTGTCGCCCTCTTGCTGTTTTCGGGGCGCCGGCGATAATCACCGCCGCCGCCGCGTGTTTCCATTTGGCGGGCGGGCCCCCCGCGATTCGCCCGAGCTGAGGAACATTTTTTTATCACGCGCCCCGCTTGCATTTGTCAGCCGCAAAGTGACATTTTGGGGAGTGCGGGAGGCTTCTTGGAAACACCCCTGTTTGTTACAGGGCGCGGGCAGTCTCTATAGACGTTGGGCCCGCGCCCTGTAAGAAGCCACCTTGTTCTGAAAAACTTTCCCCCTATCCACGTGTGCCCGCCGCCAAACCGTGCGACAACCTTCCGCCTCGCCGGTTCGTCTGCTTCTGAGAAAAAAGGGAGGATGTCAGAATTGGTAAATGTATCCATACGGTTAACCCTTCCGCGGATGCATCGGTGGGCTCAGCCGATGCGTCGCGAGGAGGGGTCTTGGTTTGGCAAAAAACTCGCGATGAAAAAATGGTTCGGGGGAATAGTTCGGGACTTTGTGGGCTTTGTTGTTGGAGAAATCATGACGTTGCATGTTTCGGGGATGAGGCGGGGGAAGAAGAGGAGGAAGAGGACGAGGAATAGAAGGGAGGAGGGGAGAGGGGGAAGGGGGCGAGCGGGCGGCGTCCTCCTCCCCATTTTGTTCCTCGCGCCCGTTTCACGTCCCCCTCTGCCCCCCACCTTTCGTCCTCCTCTTCATCTCAGTCTCTCCCCGTCCCTCGTCTTCTCCCAAGCATTGGCACACACACATACTTATATATATACAGATAAAAACATGTGTGTATATATATATACATATACATATGCATACATATAGATATATATGGATGTATGTATATGTATGTATGTATATATATATATATATATATATACCATCTCGTGTTTTTTTCCGGCTGTTCCAGGCAGGCCCCACCGAAGGCCCCCAAAGGCCGAAAGCGGCCAATAAGTTTCTTTCGTGTTGTTCCGTTGTTCGGGTCTTGTTCTGTCTCTGTCATTATTTCTCTCTCTCTCTCTCTCTTTCTTTCGTTCTCTCTCCTTCTCTCTCTCTCTTGTTTTTTCTCCCCCAGATCCCTCCTCTGAGACCGTGGCGTTGCAATTTGTTCACTCTGGGCATTATGGCCCAGCTTCGGGCCCCGGGACTCATATGATCGATCGGGCTCGAAACATGGCGCACAAGGGTGGGCTCTGATCAGGAAGGGGTGTGGGTTCTGGTCGTGATCGTTTCGCAACGTCGGATTTGAGGGTCGGGCCACGGAACAGAGCAAAACAACACGACGGGCAGTTCTCTATCCACCACTGGGACTGCGACCCAAATTTGTTCAGCATGACGATTCCGTCCCCGCGGGGAGGAATAGTTCTGGGTCCCCACGTCATGATGAAGCCTTCTCGGGTGTTGCTAGATGTGCTCTTTGGCCAAAGTGCCCCCAGGATTCTCGGGGTAGCCCAAACGGCCTCCAAAGCACCCTTCACGAGGCCCAGAGGGCCCCAGGGGCTCCAAAATGGAGCGAAAAGCTGGGGGCACTTTGGGTCAGGGGTACTTCTAGCAACACCCGACCTTCTGGCACCACGGCCGGCTCCTCAGAAGGCTGCGAGGGCCTGCGTGAAGCCCCGCCGCCTTCGGACATGGCCTCTGCCTTCCACCTTGGCGCACCGCCGACCTGTGCCTTTCTCTCCCAGGGGTCGACCCCAACGGTGTCTTGGCGGTTTCGTGGGCAGTCTTCGTTTGGATGTCGTTTTGTTGCAGAGGTGGACCGGCAAACCAAGACGAAACCAACACGAAAGACAAAAAGCTAAAAGCGAAACAAAAGCGAATAACGAAAAACCAACACGAACAACGAAGCCACACGAAACCGAACCACGAAACCAAAGCGAAAAACGAAAAGCACTGTCTCGGTCAGTCGGCCACGCGCAGAGGGGGGTAGTTGGAAGGGGGAGGGCTTCTTGGAAGCACCTCTGCCTCTTAGAAGCGGCGGGCCTGGTTTCTGGATGTCGGGCACGCGCCTCCTAAGGAGCCTCCCCCCCTAAGAAGCCTTCCCCCCTAAGAAGCCCAAGCAGCCTCCTTCTAAGAAGCCTTCTCCCCTTACCCCCCTGCACGCGCCGCCGAGTCGAGACCTCCTCCCTCCCTCTCCCGCGGGGAGCTCCGACGGACCCCCTCATCCTGGCCGAAGGCGTCCTGGGCGCCGCATCGGTGCGCAATTACGCCCTCTGGGCCTGGCCAGAACGGCTCCGACCTTCCGATCCTGGGCCCAGGGAGGGGCCCGGCCGGGATCGGTAGGGTGGCGAGCTGCCGTCCTCCGACTCGACGACGACGACGATCGACGACGATCGACGAAGACGGCGACGATGACGCTCGTTGACGACGACGACGATCGACCACGGCGACGACGACGAGCACAAGGAGGACGACGACGACGACGACGAGGACGACGGCGACGGCGATCGACTACGACGACGATCGCTACGCCGCCGCCGACGAGGACGACGACGACGATCTACGCCGCCGCCGACGACGACGACGACGACGCTGACGACGGCGACGACGATGACGGTGTCGATCGACGACGACGACGACGACGACGATCGACGACGACCGACTCAAGGGGGGGGGGTTACGGACGCAGACCGGACACGCGCGGCTGGTCTCCGGTCTCGGCCACGCCGACAGGCGTTGTCCGTGATACACACTGGCGCCTCCAGCGCAGGCGCCGGGAGGCGCCTGGGAAGCCAGATGCAGCAGGCTCGGGCCGTGTCGGCGCGGTGTGGCCCCGCGCGGGGCTTCCAGGATGTGACGCCCACCCGAGTTAAGTCGGGCATGTCCCTCCACAGGAGCAGTACTCAAAAATTATCAAACACAGTACGGGGGGACGATTTTTTCTTACTTGTGGGGCATCGGGGAGTATTTTTTTACTTTTTTTATTTTTCGTTCAAAATCCGCTCGTAGGAGGACATGACCGACCTAACCCTTGTGGCCCAGAGTCGTCCGGTGTGGACCTGCCCTGCGCGGTCGGGCGGCCAAGATCGTGCAGAAGCGGTGGGTGCACGCGGTGTCAGGGCGCACCGCGCAGGCCGTGGCGACAAGAGCCCGCCGCGCAGAGATTCGCCAGCCCCCCCCCCAGCTGACATCCCCCCTCTCACGTCCGCCCCGATCTCACTCGTAGAGTTAAGTCGGGCGTCTCACTCGTACAGGAGGAAGGTTCAAAAATAGTCAAAACATAGTCTGGGGACGATGTTTTTGATTGTTTTTGACAATTTTGGGGCATGTTGGAGGTCTTTTGCATCGGCCCTCCAAAATTCGCCTGTAGGGGGACATGCTCGACCTAATCGCACAGTCAACCCGCATATCAAGGATGAGCAATCTTCCAAGGTTACCCTTGCATCCATTCCCTCTGGCCCATCCTTGGCCGCTTTTTGCTGGCCGCACCCCGCTCGCAGAGTGTCGACATGGCCTTCTAATCGGCGGCGAGCGAGGGGGGGAAGTGAGAAGGAGAAGGCCTTCTGCGAAGGCGGCGGGGCTTCTCAGAAGCCCTCGCGCCTTCTGAGAAGTTCTCTGCGTCTTCGGGGACGGCCCAGGACACCTCTTGGCAGGCCGGGCGACCTCCGAGCCTTCCGAGAAGGCCCGCGCCCTCTCATGTACCCTCCCTGTGCTCGCCGCCGACCTGCTGCCCTTGCATCCTTCCTGCGCCTCCTCCCTGTACCAGGGCTGGACCTGAACACGGTGTCTTTGGTGATTTCGTGGGCCGTTTTCGGTTCGAGTTCGTTCTGCGGTAAGGGCGGATATTCGAGACAACAGGGAGGGAAAACGAAAAAACAAAACGAGACCGAACAACACCGTTTAGGTTCAGCCCTGCCCTGTACGGCTGGACCGCGGTCGACCGGTCGACCGCGGGGCGCCTCTGCGGCGCTCGTGGGCCCCCCTGACCGGGCCGCGCCGGCAATCGGCCGCGGGCCGCTGCCGCCCGGGGCCTGCGCGCGGCCCACCTCGCGGCGGTCGCGGGCCGGCTCAGACCGCGACCTGTCCAGGCCGCTCGGCAGGGGCCGGAGCGGTCGAGCAGGGGATCGAGCTGCAGCATGGTCGGGGGTGGACAGACCTCCTACAGTCGGGGCCCTGAAGAAGGAACCCTTTTGGTTGGGGAGGGGCTCCGCGTTCCTGAAGTGTTTCACCGCTTGCCTCAGGTGTTCCTTCTGTTTTCGATAAGGAATCGAAGTTTAACTTATGGAAAAAAGGGGCCTCGTTCCTTACCTAGGGTTCCTTAGGTCAAGGCCCCGACTGTACCCTGACACGTCGATTAAGGAATTGGCCGTTTTCGGTCCGCGAGAGGGCGTCGCGGCCGTCATGTTTGCGGGTCCAGGTCCGTCGGTTTCGGTCCCAGGCAGTTTTCACTAAAGGGAGGTGTACTAAAGGGAGGCTTGCCCACCGCCGACATTGATACACCCCAGCATTGACGGATTATACGTCGGGGCAAACGTTGATTGATGCACCCCAGAATTGGTTCATTTCGCCGGGTCGTACGAGCATCCTACGCATGCCTCATGGGTGCGACGAGCAAGTCAGTTCTGGGGTACACCAATTCTGTAGTCGATCCCCTACTCGGAGCAGGTGAGCGGCGCGAAAAAAGGGGTCGTCAGCGCCGACATGGCCGCGCAAGTTGCCCGCGTAAGGTCGTGCGTAAGCGCCCTGGTCTCCAATGTGGCGTGCCGCGCCGGTGGCCCGCGTAAGCCGCCGCGCAAGGTCGCTGGGTCATCTCGCGTACGACCCGTTTTACATTTTCGCTCAGGAGGAGTCGGATGCTCGCGCTGCATCGCCGATACATCGGCGAGGCGAAGCGATCCTGGCGTCGCCAGAGCACCGGCGATGCATCGGCGACGCTGTGCGGTTCTCTGGCGCGACCTGCTTCGGCCGCATTCGGGATGCCTTCAACCTGTGGCGCCCGTTCTTGCTTTAGGCAAGGCTCTACGCGGACTGCGCGCGCAGGAGAAAAGGTAGTCAACGGACCGCCCTCCAGGGGCGGGATTTGTCTGAATCACGTTGGTGTTTGGCACAGGCTTGGCGTTCTCAGGCTTTCAGCTCAAGATAGCTCCGAGACGGGCCCGTGGCTCCCAAGAGAGGCCAAGAGGCCCCAGAGAGGCCAATATGGTCCCGCAGCCAGCCCCACGACGGCTCCAAGACGGCGCGAGACCACCCCCAAAATGAACCCAATACTCCCCCCAGATCCTGGACGGCCCCCTGGTCTTCCACATCGGGCCCGAGAGGCCTGAGGCAAACAAGAGTTCGAACATATCTCAAGTAGTATTGGAGGGGCCAGCAGTACGGCAACGGAGGGACACGGATGAGCGACGGAAACTTGTGTTCACGCAGTTGTTTCAGCAGTGTTCGGAATGTAATCAAATGATCCTTTCGTCGTTTCGGGGGGGGGGCTCGCGGAGGCCAGGGTGGGCGACGAGAACGTACAGCATGGGTCGCTGGAGCACAACAATTTACAACAAGTGCCCTGTTTTCGTTTCGATTAAGGGCGCGCTCGCAATTTTGATGCACCCGAGCTGCATGGCGGCCATGGGGCGGAACAAATGGGAGGGGCACGCGCGAAGAGGTTCCAACTCACGTATTCCTCGCAGTAATCCTGTTTGATTCGGGATCGGATTTTGTTTCGGATGTCTAACGGGATTATGTTTCGGCCCTGTGTTGTTCCGAGTGGGCAGAGAGAGGGTCGAGGAGAGGAAATGTGTGGACATGTGATGGTTCGTTGTTTTAGCAACGCACTGTTTTGGTCGAGTCTGGGGCATTAAGTTGATGTTCCATTGGGCGTCGTGTCATTCATTGTCTCTGGGCGCGAAGTAAAGGTCTGGCTTTGGCACGGCAGCCATGTATTTGCAGAGAGGTAGGGTGCGTAAGATGAGGAGGAAGTTGGTGATGATGGTGGTGGTGAGGGGAGAGGAGAAGTGGGAGGATTGAGGGGCGAGGGAGGCAAGATATTCGGGATTAAATCCTGATGGGCGCCGTGCTGGTTCAAATCGGGGGCGGCTGGTGCAGTGCACTGGAACATAGGCGCAGAAGGCGCGGAGGAGGGGTGAGGAAGGCACGACGAGACCAGGGGAGGCTGATAGGAGGAGGGACCAAGAGCCAGAGGAGTCGGGAGGGGATGGATGGAATCCCGGTCGGTTTCCATGATGACGCCGTGCTGGCTCTATATATGGGGACAGTTCCTGCAGGGTTTGCAGGGAGTCGCGCTGAGGATGTATCCCTGAGTTCGGAGTTCAGGCTGACCCCAGCGAGCGTCACGACGATGCAGAGGAAGAATCGGATGTCGGGGGGGGAGGCGCTGCTTCATCGAGCTCCCTAAAATCACGCTTCAGGCTGAACCCAGCGAGCGCCACGAACTCGCGGGGGTGATTTGCTCCCTCGAACCAGGGTTCAGGCTGAACTCGGCGACATTGGGGAAGAAAGCCAGAATCTTGACTTACGGATCTTGATTTCGCGAGTTCCAGAACATCTGAGTTCAGGTTGGATTTCGAGCTAAAGTAGCTCACGACATCTATCATCTCTCTTGATGGTGGACGCGGGTAACACCGAACTCAGAGGCGCAGTGCGATAGGTGAGACGAGTTGAATTTTCTATGTGGCGCCGTCGTACCAAGCTTGTTTCTCTCGGTCTCGCGTTCGTTCTCGCACATCTGCGTACATTGTTCTTCCCCCCTCCCCCTCTCTCATCGTCTGCCTCCTGCCCCTTTCCCGCGCTCTCTCTCTCTCTCTCTGCCGTTTCCTCTTTGTCCGCTCTCCAGGAGTGGTGTGCGGCGAGCCTGCCGTTCTTCTACTTCTTGCCATGGAGCTTCCAAGTCGAGCCCTGGGGCAGCTCCCCTCCATCCCCTTGGGAGGTGGGGGGGGAGGCGGAGGGGGCGGACGGGCTAGGGAGGGCGAGGAGGGAGGGGCAGACGGCTGGGGGAGGAAGGGGAGAGAGTTGACGAGGAGGAGGTGGAGCAGTAGCAGCAAGATGAGACGGAGGAGGAGGATGGGGGTGGGAAGAGAGAGGGAGGGAGAGAGAGAGAGAGAGAGAGAGAGTTGACGAGGAGGAGGTGGAGCAGTAGCAGCAAGATGAGACGGAGGAGGACGATGGGGGGAAGGAGAGAGTTGACGAGGAGGAGGTGGAGCGGTAGCAGCACGCTCGGCAATGGCGGACAAGACGGATGAGGCGGATGAGACGGAGGAGGAAGGTGGGTAGCGGATGAGGCGGACAATGGGTAGCAGAAAGATGAGACGGAGGAGGAGGATGGGGGAGACAGAGAGAGGGAGAGAGAGAGAGAGAGAGAGAGAGAGAAAGAGAGAGAGAGAGACAGAGAGAGAGAGAGAGAGAGGAAGCCGTTCTTCTCCCCCATCGTCGTTTCTCGCCCCTTCCACCCGAATCCGCTCTCGCGGCAGCAAAATGCCATGAAGCAGCTTCTGAAGCGTCTTCCGTGCAGAACAGAATGTTGCGCCCTCGGTTCGAAATAGACCCTTCGTGGTGGCATTTTGCTTACCGCCCTGAGCCCACGGAGCGCCGTTCGCTACATGCCAGCGTCTGTCTGCTGGATGAGTTCGCACGCGTTACACAGACATTCGTGATGAAAGTTTTTACTGGTCACCAAGGTCAATTGGCTTTGGAAGTTGGCGTGCGGCGACGAGGCTGCTTTTGGTGCTAGCCTCCTCACGCCTCGCCTGTCGTTGCCGCTGTACCGTGCTTGCTCTCGAGTGTGCACCCGCAGTGTTGGTTGAACAATGCAGACTTCACGCTCAGACACGCTCGTTTAAGCCGCGCATGCTGCCAAACATCGTATTCTCAAAGCGTTCCTGCTCTTGCGTCCAGCCACAGCCACCTGTCCGTTGCCCATACGTGCTCCGTCCGTTGTCCACAGCCTCCTTGCGTTCTTGCTCTTGGTCCATGCCCACACGTGCATTGACAGGGCCACACGGATAACCGACGGCACTAAGCATTACAGCCTACAGCCAAGACGGGTCATGATGTTGAATCTTTCGGACCCTCTTCATTCCCCTTCCTATGTAGCGGTGCGCCTTGCGAACGTCTGACGTCCGTTTGTTTGTCTCTACTGTCCAATCCGATTGGTTTCGCATGTGGAGCGTTGACACAGTTGCGTGCTACGACAATTCTGAGCGTGCCGCCTGACATGCTGTAGACTGGACCCTTGCCGCTCAGCCCACTATGCGTTCCCTGCCTCCCTTTCCCCCTGGGCCTCTCCCCTGCCTGGCGTCAGGCCGACACGGCATCGGCGGGCGACACCCTCATCTCCCTTCCAAACAGCAGCGCGCCAGTCAGCTGCGTGCAGGCCCGCCCTCTTTCCATAGGGGAACAAACAGTGACATAAATATAAAACTCTGAGGTCCGCGCGGATTTCTCGGATCGGCGCTGGGGCCCCCTGGCGGCGCCTCCGGCGCCGCCCCTGGCGCGCTCCGCGCGCCAGGGAGGGGGGTCCAGCGCCGATCCGAGAAATCCGTCTGGACCTCCGAGTTTTTATGTTTATGTCACTTTTTGTTTCCCTATTCCATCTGTGGGGGAGGCGGGGGGTGAAGGAGAAGTCACTGGCCGAGGAGTTCTGGACGAGCCCTCGGTGGAGGATAAGGGGGGGCCCTCTCTCCAGGGATGCGGTCGAAGACGAAGAGGGCGGGTGCCGAAGGTTTGGCGTGTACGTGTTAAAACGGCACGCGAACAGGTAAGAGCGAACAGTCTTGAACTTATTGTTGTTGGTGGTGGTGTTGTTCTGGTTGCTGCTGTTGTTGTTGTTGTTGTTGTTGTTGTTGTTGTTGTTGTTGTTGTTGCTTTGATTGTTGTTATGGTTGGTGGTATTGTTGCTGTTGAGTGTTCATCCCCAACGACTTATGTATTGTTGATCCCCCCTTACGGTAACCATTGCATGTTTCAGTGCAAGTGTTTCTGCCGGAGTTCGCACCCTGTATTTTACAAGGGGAAGCGAGGTGTCACAAAATTCTTTACGCTTCGCGTATCCCCACCAGCCCATCTCACAGCAGCAACTCTTGCGAAGCATGCCGACAGTCGTCTTTTTCAGGCGCGCGTCCGCTTGGCCCCGCATATCTCCCCTGTTCCTCCTTCCTCCCGCCTCCTTGTACATCCTCCTTGTGGGGGGAGCGGGAGAAGGACGAGGCGGAGGAGGAGGGAGAGAAAGCGCTCCTCGTGATTTGAGTCGTTTGGGGTTTCTCGTCCTGGTGTGAGTCGTTCGGGCCCTTCTTCCTGGTGTGAGTCGTTCGGGCTCTTCGTGGTGTGAGTCGTTCGGGCTCTTCGTCCTGGTGTGAGTCGTTCGGGCTTCTCGTGGTGTGAGTTGTTCGGGCCCCTCATCCTGGTGTGAGTCGTTCGGGCCCCTCCTCCTGGTGTGACTCGTTCGGGCTCCTCGTGGTGTGAGTCGTTCGGGGCCCGCGTCGTGGTGTGAGTCGTTCGGGCTCCTCGTGGTGTGAGTCGTTCGGGCGCCTCGTCCTGGTGTGAGTCGTTCGGGCCCCTCCTTGTGGTATGAGTCGTTCGGGCTCTTCGTGGTGTGAGTCGTTCGGGCCCCTCGTCCTGGTGTGAGTCGTTCGGGCTCCTCGTGGGGCCTCTTGGGGGCCTCTTGGAGCCTCTTGGGGCCTCTTGGGGGCCTCTCGGGGGCCTCTTGGGGGCCTCTGGGGGGCCTCCTGGGGCCTCTTGGGGGCCTCTTGGGGGGCTCTTGGGGCCTCTTGGGGGCCTCTTGGGGGCCTCTTGGGGACCTCTTGGAGGCCTCTTGGGAGGCTCCTGGGGGCCTCTTGGGGCCATTTGGGGGCCTCTTGCGACCTCCTCTGAAGCGCAAAGGAGCGCTGCCCCCTGAGAAGGACAAAATGAGCCCAAAACCTCAGTAAAATCAATGATTTTGCTATGAAGGACGATGAGCGCTGCCTCCTCAGAAATCCAAAATGGGGCCAAAACACTAGTAAAATCAATGTTTGTGGCTTCACAGAAGAGGAGAGGGACTTATCTCCGGCCCCCCGTCGGGGCGAGAATCCTCGTGAGGGTCGTCGTTTTTTAGCCCTCCCAGGAGTCGAAATTGACCCCCCTGACGACTCCCCGGACTCCCTGTCCAGGTCCAGGGGGGGGGGGTAGGGGGAGGGGTAAACCCCTCCCCGAAGGGGAAGAAGGGGGGTTGAGGACAGAGCGGGCTCTCTAAACCACTCACGCCCAAAGGGCTGGTGGGATTGGGCCCTTGGCTCCTGGTTTACAACACCAGCGGCTCCCGCCTGATACTCCCTCACAAGTTATTCCCAAATCGCGTTGTGCGCGGGACGTCCTCACAATTGATGCAGGAATCGCGTTGTCGCGTGGGATTGTAATTTGTTCAGACGCCGCGGCCTCGACACTCAGGAATCACGCTCTCGCTGTGCACTTCCTCATCATTTATTTCGGAATCGCGCTATCGCTCTCGACTTCTCGCGATTCATGCAGGCCGCACGCTTCAGCAACCCGCCTGCTCGACCTGGCCGCCTGGACCCGCCTTCCCGACCCGCCTGTTAGGGTCTACCCGCCCAATCTGCACGTCTGGTAGTGCCACGTGTTTTCTGCTCCTAGTCCCCCTCCTGCTACTGTCTCTCGTGCTCCATCCTCCTCTCTCCCCCTTGTCCCTCCCTTCCATCCGTCCTCTCTTCCCCTGCTTTCGGCGCTGCACGAAATACACGTTGCAGGAAAGGAGGATATACCCCTAATGGTGCACGGTCGAAGGCGAAGAGGAAGGGCATCGAGGTTTTGGGATATACGTCTTGATTGGCACGCGATCAGATAAGGGTGGACAGTCTTGAAATAATTGTTGCAGTTGTTGTTGCTGTTGCTGTTGTCATTGTTGATACACCCCCCACCGGTGCGCAGTGTATTTGCTTAAGTGAAGTGCTCCCTTCGCGGCTCACGCCCTGTTTTTTGTCAGGGGACGTCTTCATGTTCAAACTGTACCCTTGGCCCCCCAGCTAGAACAACAACGGCTCCCGCTTGATACGTCCACACAAGTTATTACGGAATCGCATTCTCGCGTCGGACGTCCTCACGTTGTACGCAGGAACCGCCCTCTCGCGTGGGACTTTCTCGCAATGTGCTAAAACGCAGCGCTCCCGACCACTCAGGAATCACGCTCTCGCGTTTTGACTGTTTTTCCAGTTTGCTTGGGGATCGCGCTATGCCTCGAGATTTCCTCGCGATTCATGAAGGACTTGCGCTTCAGCAGCTCGCCTGCTCGACCTGGCCGCCAGGACCCGCCTTCCCGACCGCCCGCCAGGGTCTGCCCGCCCGATATGCCCGCCTGGTTGTGCCACGTGTTATCTGCTCCTAGCCCCCCTCCTGCTAATCTCTCGTGTGTTCCATCTTTCTCCTTTGGTTTTTTCGGGTTGCGCTAAATGCACGTTCCTCGCGATGCATGCAGTACCCACGCTTCAGCATCACGCCTTCTCGAGCTGGCCGCTTGGACCCGCCTGCCCGGACCACCCGTTAGGGTCTACCCTCCCGATGGGCCCGTCTGGTTCTGGCGCATGTGTTCTGCATTTAGCCCCCCTCCTGCTTATCCCGTGCTCCATCCTTCACCCTCCCCCTTCTATCCGTCCTCCCTTCCCCTGTTTCAGGGGCCGCACCAATTACACGCGGCAGGCAAGGAAGATATACTTCCAGGGGGTTACGATCGATGGCAAACACGGCGGGTACCGAGGGTTTGGGATAGATGTGTTGAATGGCACGCGAGCAGGCGAGAGCGAACAGTCTTACAATGAGTGCTGTTGTTGTAATGGCGGTTGCCGTTGGTGGTGGTGTTGCCGTTGTTTTGTGTGTTTGTTTTGCGTTGCACGTGTTGCATAATATATTCGTGTGTGGCGCATGATGGCGACAACGGTGACGATTCGAATGATGACGATGCCCAGGGATATGTTGTAACTGCTATGTTAACGGTAATGCTGAAGGTGTTGTTGATCATGCTGTTGACCAGGGGATGACGACGACGGCGACGACGACGACGGATGATGATGATTATGAGGATGAGGATGAGGATGAGGATAATGATGATGATGATGATGATGATGATGATGGTGTTGATGGTGATGATGTTTTGGACGACGACGATGATGTTGGTGGTGATGATGGTGATTCCGGCGAAGGCCACGATGATGGTGATGCTGATCTGATGACGATGATGACGACGACAGACGATGATAATGGTTACGATGATTATGATGTTTACCATGGTCATGATCATGATCATGATGACGGTGGTTGCGAGGATGATGACGATGATGTGAATGATGATGTTGATGATGACGAAGATGATGAAGATGAAGATGTCGGTGTCGATGTTGATGTTGATGTTTTCGCAAACGATGATGATGAGAAAGAGGAGGATCAGGATGATGAAGATGATGATGATGATGGTGGTGGTGATGATGATGATGGTGATGGTGGTGATGATGATGAATGTTTCTGATCATTATGATTATGATGATGCGGATGATGATGGTACGTGATGATGCTGCTGTTGATAATGAAGATGATGATGATGATGATGATGATGATGATGATGATGATGATGATGATGATGATGATGATGATTATGGTGATGGTGATGGTGATGGTGATGGTGATGGTGATGGTGATGGTGATGGTGATGGTGATGGTGGTGATGATGATGAATGCTGCTGATCATTATGATTATGATGCTGCTGATGATGATGATGATGATGATGATGATGATGATGATGGTACGTTTTGCTGCTGCTGCTGATGTTGATGTTGATGATGAGGATGAGGATGAGGATGAGGATGAGGATGAGGATGATGATGATGATGATGATGATGATGATGATGATGATGATGATGGTGCTGATGATGATGATGATGTTGATGATGCTGATGATGATGCTGCTGCTGATGATGATGATGATGATGATGATGATGATGATGGTGATGATGATGATGTCAACGGCGACTGCCCAGGCCACCCAGGGCAGCCTGGCCGGCAACAGCGTCAGGGTGGCGAGCGCGGCCAGCAGCTGACCCGCCGCGGCGGAGCCGCGCCGCGCCGCGCGCACGAGGCCCGCCCGCAGTGTGCAGCGCGCGGCGCCTCCGAGGCCACCACCGAGCCGCGCGGTGGGCCCGCCGAGGGGCGCCGCCGCTGCCGCGGCGCGTGCGCCTCGGCCCTCGCCGGAGGCCTCCCAAGTTTGCGTGCAGGATGTGCATCGGCAGAACTTCCTGGAGCTCCGGGTGCCCATCCACGGGAGCCAGAGGTGCAGCTGGACGAGGGGTAGTGATCTGGCCCCTACGACGCCCTCACCTCGAAGAAGAAGAAGAAGAAGAAGCGCCATAAGCATAAACCTTTTGGCTCTCCGCGCGGATTTCTTGGAGCCGCGCCAGGTCCCCCCCCCCCCCGGCGCCGCCTCCGGCGTCGCCCCTGGCGCGCTCCGCGCGCCCAGGGAGGGGGCCGGAGGGCTTCCCAGGTGGGGTCGGAGCAGGTGGGGTCGGAGGATCGCGCCGCACCGCCGATGTAGCGGTGATGCGGCTCCATGTGGAGCTTGAGTTTCTCCATGCTGGCACCGCCGATGCATCGTCCACGTCGACGATGCGTCGCTGCCGCGGCACGTGCGCCTTCGCCCTCACGGGAGGCCTCTCAAGCTTGTACCGAAGAAGAAGGAACGGCACGAATATAAACTTGTTGGCGCTCCGCGCGAATTTCCTTGGAGCCGCGGCGCCTCCAGCGCCGCCGCTGGCGCGCTCCGCGCGCCAGGGAAGGGGGGTCTAGCGCAGGTCCCAGAAATCCACGCAGAGCGCCAAAAGTTTCTGTTTATGCCGTTGTTTCTTCTGCTAGTCCTCCCAAGCTTGTGGGCCACATTTGTGGGCCACATTTGTATCCATATCCATTGCATCTTGGAGTTTGGGTGTTCCACCGGGACAAGATGTGCAGTGGACGGGGATGATGACCTGGCCCCTACGAGGCTAGATTTTTACCCAGATCAAGCTTGCGTGCATTGGGCGTCGCGTGATGGGGGGGGCGATTAATGGGAGGGCATCGAGGGCTGCAGAAGAGGGGCCCTTAAGGGCCCCTAAAGAGGTCCTGTAGGGGCCCAGACGAGGCCTTTAGGGTCCGAAATGTAGACCGTTCTTTTTCCCCCATTTATCGCCGAGCCATCAAGTGACGCCCAAGTGCAAGATCTGTATCCAAATCCACTGCGTCTTGGAGTTTCGGGTTCCTTTTCTCAGGATTCAGAGGTGCAGCGGATGTGAAGACGCCGTGGGTGTGGATATAAATCTTGCCCGCAGTATGGCTCCAGGTCTCCCAAGTGTGGCCCGAGTAAATGTCCCCTGAGATCTGGGCGTCGTTTTTTTTTTTTGTTTGCGTCGTTTTTTTTTTTTGATTTGGGTGTCTTCGGCCGGTGTCCCGCCAGGGGACCATCACGGATCGATCATGCTCGAAAAATGCCGCAGATCGATGGAGGTTAGGGCTTTGGTCGCGATTTAGCCCGATGTTGAGTTGTTGTTCGCAATGTCGGATCTCAGGGTCTGAGGAGGGCGAGGTGATTCAGCGGCAGCTTACTTTCGGGGGCCCCCTTGTCGCCACGGCTGGACGCAGCTCGGCAACCGGGTGCTTTTTGGCCCAGGCAGTGGCTCGGGAACCGATTTTGAGTTGTCGTTGTCTCAATTCGCCGTGTTGCGAAGAAAGATTGGGTCGGAGGATCTCTCGCCGCATCAACGATGCATCGGTGATGCGGCTTGATGTGGACCCGATTTTCTCCACGCCGACGCCGCAGATGCATCGCGTCGTCGCCGATGCATCGGCGATGCACTGGCGGTGCGGTCGATCCTCCGACACCATCTGCTTGGACTCGAGTTGGGCAGGCCTCCAGTGGCGGTACGCCGCGCAGAGGCTCGCCAGGAGGGAGGCCCAGATCTACGACCATGTGCTTTCCCGAAGCAGCATGTCTGTAAGGGTCGTGCAGATTCCCCAAACAGTGTTTTCTTTTAGGGGCTCTTACAGTTCTTCGAAGGAGCTGGGCCTGACGTCTGGCGGCTATGTGGCCGCCGTCGCCGCCTCGTCGCCGCCCGTCGTCAGAACCTGACGGCCTGTCTGGCGGCCCTATCGCCGCCCCATCGCCGCCCGTCGTTCGGGCCTGTCCGTTGGTCTGGCGGCCACGTCGTCGCCGTCGACGCCCCGTCGCCGCCCTCTCGCCGCCCATCGTCTGCGTCCGTCTGTTGGTCTGGCGGCTATGTCGTCGCTGTCGCCGCCCCGTCGCTGCCGTCGCCGCTCGTCGCCTCCGTCAGATTGCACACAACATCGGTTGCACCACATCGAATAGTCAACGTCGTTTGAACCGCATGAATTGTGCCCCACATAGCTTGCACCACATAGCTTGCACCATATGGGTTGCACCACGTAGATATGCACCACGTATATTGCACAGCATATTGCACCACGTCTGTTGACCAGCACACATTGCTGCACATAGATTGCACACCACATCTTGCTAGGACGCACACTGTGTTTGGCCCACGCTGGCTAACACCTCTCTTGAAAGCGGAGCGCGCGGGGGCCATGATGTGGAGTCAGCCGTTTGCTATTGTCTCCAGTCGTCGCCCGATGTCTCTTACGGGCGGACCTGGACCTGGAGTCGGTCGGGCGCCGCTTGTTTCTCGTTGTCTGTCATTGTCTCCCATTGACTCCCGTTGTCTCCCTTTGTCGCCCGTTGACGCCTGTTCTCTTCCGTTGTCTACCGTTTGTTCCGTATCCTTGGCATTCTACCCCACCCATGTTATTCCTATCTTGTGCTCACTATCCTTACTCCCCAATCCTTATCTTCACCTCCCTTGCCTTACATCCGCACCCCTATCCCTCTAGTGTTCGCATTCGTGCTCGCAGTCGTGTCCGTATTCGCATCAGTCCTGTTAGTAGCAGTCTTTCGAGTTTTTCTTTTGTTGTTCTGCTGAGGGTCCTCGGCCGCGATTATAATTTTCAATGTTGTCGTATTTCCTTGGTTTGCCTCTGGGGCCCCGTATCTGGCCACAGGGTCATCAACAATTGTTGCAGGACGAAGGATGCCTCTGCGGAAGCGGTCGGTTCAGCAGGGGCCGCGCATCGAAAAAGTCATCGTCGGATATTTGGGTAAGGGGTTCTGATGGAGGTGGATCCAGGAAGTTGTCGGCCGCCTTCGGGCTCCCTGGGCCCGTCACAGAGCGACTCGGGGTGAAGTCTCCGTGGTCCCAGGGGAAGAGCCCCCAGGCTCCCCCGGTAGCGCGCAGCCTGATGATGATGCTGATGGTGCTGACGACGATGATGCTGATGTTGGTGATGATGATGATGATGTTGGTGATGATGATGATGATGATGGTGATGATGATGATGGTGATGATGATGATGATGATGATGATGATGCTGATGCTGATGCTGATGCTGGTGATGGTGATAATGATGATGTTGATGTTGATGCTGATCTGGCCCACCCTGCACCGCCTGCGTCGTCTTGGAGGGCTTCGGTGGACGGGCACGCGTCGGCTATAGGATGCCACTCCTGGGAGGTTACATTGTGCATCGGCGTTGGTATTTTGCGGTCGATAACCGGCATAATCTGGGCCACTCTGGCTCAATCCGGCTTCATTCAGTGTAATGCCGCTCAATCCCCGAGTCTAATCGCCCGTACTCGAACGCAGACCTCCCAGAAGTTGCTTCTTAATTATGGCGCCCGGCACACGCGCTGAGGAGTTATCAGGAAAAGGCCCCCCCGGGGGTCAGGCCCCGCTTCCCTGCAGGGCCCGTCTCCGTGCCGGGCATAGGCCCGCGGGCTCGCCTCGTGGCATCCTGCGCCTCCCCCTCGTTGTCTACCGCCGCCGCTGTCGCCGTCGTCGTCGTCGTCGCCGCTGGTCTTCGTCTTCGTCGTCGCCGCCGGTCGTCGTCGTCGTCGTCGCCGCCAGGCGACGTCGGCCGTCGAAGCCGTCATCGTCGCTGCTGTCGGACCCAGTAAGGAGGGGGCTCGCGTTCGAGACGTCTTCGCGATTTACTCACTAACGAGGTTCCCACTCTTGAGTTCCCCAAGATGAATCGAGGCCTCCTCGCGTCTCACTCGCAGGCGAGGCTCCCGCTCGAGACCCCCTCAAGATTCAGCCTCCACGAGTTCAACTTCCTCGCGATGGCCTCGCTGACGAGGCTGCCGCTCAAGATTTACTCAAGATGAATGCGTGGTCGTGATCGCGTGTGACTGTATGCGATTCGTGACGACGATGATATTGTTGATGATGATGCTGATGGTGCTGTTGATGATGATGCTGATGATGATGTCGATGATGATGATGATGATGATGATGATGATGATGATGATGATGATGATGATGATGATGATGATGATGATGATGATGATGATGGTGGTGGTGATGATGATGATGCTGATGGTGCTGACGATGATGATGGTGATGCTGATGATGATGATGCTGATGATGATGATGCTGATGGTGCTGACGATGATGATGCTGATGATGCTGATGATGATGATGATGATGCTGATGCTGATGTTGATGCTGATGGTGACGATGATGATGATGAATGGGTGAATCTGAGAAAATATGATGATGGTGATGATGATGATGATGCTGATGGCGATGGTTGTGATGATGATGCTGCTGATTATGATGCTGATGCTGGTGCAGATGCTGATGATGCTGCTGCTGCTGATGATGATGATGATGATGATGATGGCAATCGTGCTCATGATGATCATGATGATGACGAGGAAGGCTGATGTACATGATAGCATGGTGATAGTCACGATGATGATGCTGCTGATGATGATGATTATGATGGTGATGGTGATGTTGATTGCGATGAAATAATAGTGGCGCTTGTGATAGCGATGATGATGGTGATGGTGAACAAAGTGTCAGGAGGAGGAGGAGGAGGAGGACTGCGTGGGGCGTCCTAAGAAAACCATAACCCCACTCAGGACGTTGGGAATAGTTGCATATACATATATTTATATAGATACACATACATACATACATGGCACTGTGTTTTGCTC